CCGAAATCTCCAAGCACACCTTCAACTGAAAATAATCATTCTTACTGAAACGTGGCTAAACCCCACTATCGCCGACAATGAAATCAGTATAGGTGATATGGTACTGGTCAGGAGAGACAGGGATAATAAGGAAGGAGGGGGAGTTGCTATATACTTTGATAGGCAACTTAAATGTGTGCGCGCAACGGACCCACCACTTATCGAACTCCCAGACTCCATATGGTGTCATTTCACCGTAGGCCACACCAAGCACTTACTGGGTGGCATCTACCGATCTCCCACCTGTGGGGCAGAGCACAATCAGCTACTGCTCAGCACTATCACAGGAATACGAGATTTGGGCTACGACCAAATCACCATAGCTGGAGATTTCAATGCTCCATCACTGAACCTTGGCTCCGGGTGTGCTAAGGGAAAATTTGGCCGAAACCTACTGCAAACTATTCGAAACACGGGACTGACTGAGAATGTTGGAGACGACACTAGTGGAAAGTCATCAAAACTAGATTATATTCTAACTAGTGACCAGCTACTCGTCGAAAAGGTCCAGATCATGACTCCTCTGGGAAGCAGTGACCATGCAGTCATAGGTTTCGATCTTGTCCTCCGTGAGCGTTTGCAATGGGATGTTACGCGACCATGTCTGTGCTACAGCAAGGCTGACTATGCTGAAATGCGGAGGCTCTTGTCCGACGCAGACTGGCCCTTAGCATGGGACGACCTATCTGTGGATGAACACTGGGAAGTGGTAAAAAAGATTATCCATACAGCAATCTCGGATACCGTCCCTTTAGTCACAACACAGCCTAAGAGAAAGACGTCATGGTTGAAGAGAGGCACGCAACGTATTCTGCAAGCAAAGCGGAGGCTTGGTTTACGTGGCGTGTATCTAAGAGTCAGACCGACCATGATGCATACCTCGAACTCAGGAACCGGTGTAATGCAAGAGTCAGGAGGGACAGAAGGTCATTCCAGGCTAACCTTGCTAAAAAACTCCTATCAAACCCTAAAAACTTGTACCGATTCATGTCGGAAAGAAAACCGACAAACCAAGGGGCATGCGCCTTAGTAGGCCCAAACGGTCAATATCTCACTAGTCTGGAGATGGCTGAAACATTCAGTTCGCTAAACAGCTAAACAGCAATGTGGATATTACAGTTACGGACCAAAATGGTGGCACCACTATTTCAGAGGAGGAAGACCTAGCGACTACTCCCCAAATAAACCCCGCAATAGTACTAAGGAAGCTACAGCGACTCATACCTGGGAAGTCCCCAGGTTGTGATGACATCAGGCCATCTGTTCTGAAACAGTGCGCCGAGGCTCTCTGTAGACCCCTGTGCGACTTGTTCCAACACTCAATGGATTCGGGGACCCTGCCAAGGGAGTGGAAAAGAGCCATCCTTTCTCCAATCTTCAAGGGTGGGGACAGGCAAAACGCTGCTAGCTATAGACCAGTAGCTCTACTCCCAGTGGTATCAAAAGTACTGGAAAGTATTATTGACGACCACATCAGGGAATATTTCGATAGGACTAATATACTACATGAAGCCCAACATGGTTTCAGAAAAGGCAGATCCTGCGTCACTAACCTACTGTCAGCTTGGGACGACTGGACATCATGCTGGGACTTGAACGTACCAGTCCATGTGGTCTTCCTAGACTTTGAGAAGGCATTTGACACTGTTCACCATGACCTTCTCCTACATAAAATAAGCCAGGCAGGCATAGGTGAGCCACTTCTGTCATGGTTGAAGGACTACCTAGCCGACAGGCAATTTTGCACTAAGGTTAACCGAGTCCGATCATCTTGGCACAGATCGTCATCAGGAGTGTCGCAGGGTTCTATCCTAGGACCACTGATGTTTTTGATTTTCATCAATGATCTACCACGCCGTCTGAGCTGCCCGACTCTCCTGTACGCTGACGACGTAAAAATATGGAGGGCGATAAAGTGTCCGGAGGACTCAGATAGGCTACAGGAAGACCTAAACCTTCTGGAAGACTGGGCGGTGGCCAGTGGCATGACTTTCAACTTGAAAAAGTGCAAAGTAGTGAAGTTGCGCACCTGTAGACTGCAGAATGCAAGTTACACCCTGTGCAATGAAAGCTTGTCCTGCACAACGTCGGAACGCGACTTAGGTCTAGTTCTAACGGAAAAAATGGACACAAGCGTAAATTACACAGGGGATGTAGCGAGGGCATATGCGGTCATACACTTTACGCATAGACAGTTAGGTGCACTCACTCCTGAGCTCTTTCTAATGTTGTACAAAACATACGTCAGGCCACACCTTGAGGTGCATAATATTATTGCACCCCCAATGCTGAGAAGAGATGCCAACCTCTTGGAAAGAGTCCAACGACGGGCAACAAAAGGAGTGGTTGGTCTCCGAAACAAACCATATGATGAAAGGCTGAAGAAATTAGGCCTGTTCACACTTAGTTACCGTCGGCTTAGGGGGGATTTGATTACTGCCTACAAAATAACAAATGACCAGAATCACCCAAACAAAGGTGTTCTGCCATTGAGTAGGTATAGGCTTCCACGTGGAAATCCCAGAAGGATAGCTCACCAGAGGGCAAGGACCCGGGTGCGCTCCCACTTCTTTTCACTGCGGGTTTGTCGTCCCTGGAATTCCTTACCGGCAGATGTAGCTATGGCACCGTCTTTGGACGCCTTTAAGCGAAGGCTGGACAACCATGCAGCGATACAAGGACTGCATCCAAATGGCCTATCTCCTTAAAATCGCATTTACCAATCAGGGTAGATAATTAAACTCGTCATTTTACTTCTTTACATTCTCTCCCGTCTTACTCTCCTGACAACTTATTAATATTATAATTACTATTATTATTACTATTACCGATATATATATTATTCTTCAAACTTAATGAGCTGACTGTTGTTACGTTTCCTATTTTCGTTTCTGTCTCTTAGTCTGAATAGCTTCACTAATTATATCTATTACTATTATTATTACTATCTCTTTTCTCTTGTCGACAATACCGAAGGACTAACTGGCGAAAGGATCAACTCCAATCACAGTAGTAACAGTCTTAACATACCTCATACTACAAACCACATATAATTAATCCCAGCACTACTCCCTTTGGAGTCAACCAAAGCTACGACAGTCGAGTGGCGGGACAAGCTACGCAGAAGTTTACCGAAGATCAAGAACCTATACCTCACAATCAAGAAGCGAGCACAAAGAAATCAAATTGGTTTATACTAGCTCGTAAAAACGATATTGGATATTGGACGTCAAGGTCTGACCATATTTTGAAGTTGAAGGTCAGGATGTACGGCTGACTTTCGCTCTGGTGGACTGGTCAGTCTTATTACTTTTGGACAGGTAGATTTATGCATCGTACCACCGGATCTGAAGATGTAGGTTCGCAATTAGTCTCACATAAATAATTTCAAGCCAGATAAACGAATTACATTCGGGTTAAACCTTCTGGCAGGTGGTTTAGCAGGATGTGTTGCGAAGACTACTATCGCTCCTCTTGACCGAGCCAAAATCAACTTTCAGTGTAAGTCCGATTTTAGTATCTTGAATTCACAGCTACTTGTATGCGGTTTAATGTTCATAGTCTGGTCGGATTTCTGAAAGATACCTACAGTAAACATGGTTTCTTATGTCTATGGCGTGGCAATACAGCAACACTCGCCAGAATTTTTCCCTATGCTGCTATTCAGTATTCGGCTCATGAACACTACAAATACCTACTCGGAGTCGGTTTAGTTGAACATTCGTGAGTTCCGTGTTATTTTCTTGTTACAGTAATAATTGGATGTGAATGCCATTACATTTGTATATCCGGGTTTTCTATTGTTGCATTAACAATAAAACAGATTATGGCAATCTAGCGATATAAACGTGATTAAAACCGACTGTTTTTCCTGTCGCAGAGTTGATCAGTTGTTTCAGACTCAGATTATAAGGATAGAAGGCTCTTGTTGCCCATCTTAATCCTCGCGATACATATCTCTGCAGAGATCCAGTTTCTCTTTGAAAGCGTTCACTGATGGAGCTGTTACTACTAAATTAGGAAGGAGTTTCAGTCGTTTACCACTCTGTGAGAGCACCTAAATTCCACACGTATTTCGCTCGACCTCGGTGTTAGCACCTCGTAAATGTATCCGAGAGTGAAAGAAATGGTTTGAAAAGTCAATCCCTAAATCACCCTTTAATATACGGTAAGCCAACATTGAGTCGCCTCCCTCCCTTCGGTGTGATGATGGAAAGGAAGGTGTGAGATACGACTAACTAATTTGATTTGTTACAGGATTTCATCATGAGCTGACATTAGTTAGAGAACCTTTGGAAAACCTGGAAGTACTGGACAGCTGTTTCGTCCTAGTCTGGGACTCTTCATCAGTATGCACCCACCGGCATTCGAACCCGGGACCTTCTTGCTACAAGGCGAGCTCGCATACAACTAAGCTACCGGGACCCGATCCGATGCTCCATGAATTCTAACTTCTACCAGTTTGTGACATAGCGCGACGTCTAGCCAATGTCTTCGGCGAGTATTTATCCTAACATCCAACCTGCTGGGTCCGAATTCCGGTGGGTGCGTACTGATGAAGATTCCTAAACTAGGACGAAACAGCTGTCCAGTACTCCCAGGTTTTCCAATGATTCTCTAACTAATGTCAGCTCATGATGAAATCCTGTAACCAATCGAATGCTTACAAATTAACACTTGAATAATTTGATTTGGTAGTTGGAAGGTTGATAATGGATAATGTTTTCGGTAAATTAACTGCATTCTGAGTCCCGGTTGTATTACTAATAACATACCGAGTTTTCGACATCTGAAATTTAATTCAGATGTTTGAAATCACATATATATATATATATATATATATACGACCCTCGTTCTCAAAGATCACTTATGTTGCGTTCTTAATCTCCCAAGCTGGGGTTCTCAAGGAAACATCTAAAGTGATTATTGACAACCACATCAAAAACTTATTTTTTACACTATTGTTTCTTCCTTACTACGCTTCCTTTCTAATCAGGGAAAATCTGAGGACTAAATAGGTTGAGGTGGCATTTAAAATTACCTTGGCTTCTTGCCAATTGCCTCCATCCATGTGATATCAAATCAGTATGTATCGTGATGGTGAGCTATCTAGAATTCTTCTCATTACAAACTGAAAGAATTCAGTCTGCACGAAAGAAAGGACTAGATACATCATACTAGTGTCCGATCAAAGGAAGCCATAGATTTTGTCATGGATTTCAAGTGATTTGGACCTATTATTCTTTCTTTTTAAATTGAATCTCATTTGACATCAGGAAAAACATCTAAATTGTTTGGTGCTTCCCTGTAATGCCTGTAATTCAGCACTATCGACAATTTGTAAACAAGTTTTTTTAAATTTGGGCAAGTAGTGTGTCGAAAACCGAAATATCTGAGACAAATTACCAAACACAGTGTGAAGGGAAATTGGGTTATACCAGCATATAACAGATTCAAAATAAGACAATGTGAATTATTTATTTCAGTAAATTATATCCTGTACCTTTAACCGCTTGAAGTGCAAACGAAGTGCTAGATTCCAGTGCGTACGTCACATCGGTTGGAAATGAAGAATATTTAACTTAATTTGAAACGTTACTAATTACTATGATTAGCTTCATTAAGTGGTTTCACGGAGACATTCATCTGTGTGATATCAACATAGAACTCTGAGCAGAAGTGCACCAGTCCTGGTCACTGTACCTCCCAAAGAAACAAAACTGTAGAAGACAAATGTAATGGTACTACAGTAAATGAAGATTAATGGAAGAAAAAATAGTCAGGATAAGTTCAGCTGGCATTCGCAAATTCACGATGGAAAAGTATGTGAATATGTATATGTATGTACCATTAAAAACAATAATGAGTTATTTCCGTAATATTTACTATCCATTGATTCTTAGCATATCATGGATAGTATCCAAGCAGTTTACACTTCCCTATAGACTTCCTTATAGATTAGTGGTGTTTGGTTTGACCACTCATAACCATTCACCAAACTAATCCCATGTAAACCGCTACTCGTCGTAGGTGATCGCTTGGGATGGATAACATGCCGAATCACCGGGGAGTAACAAACTAATCTCCTTAATTAATACTCTATGCACAACCTTGTTTATTACTGATCATTGTATATCACCTGATTCGGAGAACTGAACTGAGATACCTATGGTCAAAGACGGTAAACCTCTTCATACCTTCGATTGTCAGCGCCACGTGTCATCTGTGAACTACAGTGAACTTCAAAGTACACTCAACCTCTAATAAGTAACTAGATATCATACCTGTAACTAGACTAGTGTCAGATGAGCCTTTTGTATCCGTTCTGAGGTTTTGTCATCAGTCACTCCTTTAAGTCTGATGTATTTGAATAAAGCGAGAACAACAGCGGTTTGTGCAGTTTGTGCTGTTGTTCTCGCTTTATTCAAATTCATCAAGGGGAATAAATGCGTATAAGTCTGATGTGACTTCCGAATGAAGTAATCACCGCACTGAGTACTGACTATTGGCTATCCTTAAACTAGGAGTTGTTCGCACTAGTCATGAAGCATCTTCTTACATTTGATAAGGACGAATCACATACTAAACTCACTCAGATATGTACTGTTGTCCAAAAGAATTATCAGCGTCTTCACCTAGAACTACTATATAATGTGTGTACTTTGGATCAACGGAACTTTCATAGTAATAAACAAATCCATGAAATTTCTAAATCGACTGGGATCGTAACCATGAGTGCATCCCACTTAAATTAAATAATGGTGATATTTAGTATTCTTGACGGACATCACTCATTCTTACTCTTGGTAGTGTCTTCATAAGCTCTTACATGACTGCATAATTTCGATAGCTGTTATCCGCGTAAATATAAATGATAATCTGACTTTTGAAACCGATGTATATAGGCTACTAAATATCCATAAAGTGGTTGCCACCTTGTACCACATAAATGTTTTTGCAGCCTATGTGGCTAGTGTGTGCATCACCATACCTTTCACTTTCACTGAGAACCCATTATTAGTGATGATTCAGATTAGATTAAGATGCTCTAGCATTTTTTGTTTATTTTAATTATAGACTAAATATCTATTGTTTACATAACTAACTTTTTGAAATAATTTAACAGAGAGTTACCGCATTTGCAACTGCGTCGGTTTCTTGCGGGTACGGGGGCTGGGACAACGTCAGTTATCTGCACGTATCCACTTGATGTTGCTAGAGCACGTATGGCCGTCACAACTTCTTCCAGGTTAGTTGCATGTTTAGTTTTCATTTGTACTGTTGCAAAGCATGACAACCTGAAGCGGTATAGTTTTTGTACAATACTTTATTTTCGTCTATCCTTTTGACTCGTCCATATCATGCCTTCATTGTTTACAATTATTTGTAATCTGTCACGTTTTGTAAAATACCCACTGACCTCGTTATGCTTACCGAAGAACGTATTTTTCATTCAAATGTAAATATATTGTTTAAACCAATTATGAAATACAGGTTTCTAGTCTAGTCGCAAAATGTTATTCGACGTAGGGTAGAATAATGTAATTTTTAAACTGTGACTTACTGACCTAAGCACTGAATTACCATCCACGGAGTCACGGGTTTGAATCCCCCTTCAGCTCACTAAAGTTTGGGTGGCCAAGTGGTATCATTAATCCTCACTCAATAGATGTAGTTCGTTTCCGATCGCGTGGAAATGCAAGTAGTTGTTGAGCAACATTTATACTTTTCCAGAATAATTTAGCGTATTTACAGGTTTTTTAGTGTTCTCAACCTGTTTTTGTTTATAAAAAGTGAACCAATGAGCTGAAAATAAAGGAGAGTCTCAGACGTTCGATTAGTGACGTCTTTCAACTGTATCACACTAAGTAAACATATCATAATGGCAAGTCACCCACTGTGGTGATAGCATTGAAACAGATAGAATTCAGTCTTCACTGACTGAGGCCGAGATATATGACACTGGTTACTTCCTGCTGGACAATATATGTACTTTACTGTCGCATTTTTCACCCTTTGCTATGTCCACATTCAAATTGTATCTATCTACTCTTTTATGCCATATTAGTAGGCAACCTCACTATTTTTGAGAGTTTCGACATAGTACATTTGACTTTTTCTGACTATCTTTACAGCCATTTCATACTGTTTTATGGATATTGTTACTGAGTAGTTCTCAAATTTGACTTTTTCAACTGAAATTACTGTTTGAGTACCTGGCGCTTACCGCTTATAAATGTCATCTCTACTGTTTGTATATTGGTATCAAAAAATGAGTGACTTAATAACACTTTCATTGTTTAACTTGCCCTTTGTATCTTTTCGACTGAAAGATTATTAAAAAAAATAATCGCAGAAACGGAAATCCTAGTTTCCACCACAGAGTAATTTCAATAATCACTTAGTATATAACGAAGGATACCAGTTTGTTTAGTGTAAACACTGCAATGTATTCATATACTTGACCCGTATAATTTGTTTTATTTCTGATATTAATAAGGCACACTTCCTTTATAGACTGGTATGTGTGTGCCAATTTACCTCAACCTTACTATGATGCATGTTGATATCGACTGAGGAATTTGAACCGCTTTCCTCAATACTTAAATGTAAGTTACAGAGCATTATTTGGTGACTGAAATCTTGATTTCATGAAAAATCTGTGCAAGGGAACCTGCCATCTTTTTCCCTGCATAAAATTGATAAATATATTGTAGAGTATTCTTCTGTTTAAAACTGGACGTATACACTGATTAATCAACATGTTTCATTCGACATGTAGTGTAGGTTATTGACTTGTTTTAACTCTCACAATTAACTTTTTGAGAATTTATTTAGATGTTGGGATAACCCACTTCTATTCCACAAATGATATCTGTGTTTCCGTGGTAAGTACTGAGATTTCACAGGACACAAAACAGTAATGATTTGAAGCGGAAAAAAATCAACAATATTTGGTACTTTCTTTTGGTCACCGTTTGATTGAATGATGGGAAGATTGTGGTGGAGTAGTTAATCGGTTACCAGGGTCATTCTTAGTAAATCACAACAGTCAACTAATCAGCAAAACATGGCAAACAAAGATGCCAGATGTGAAAAGACTTCACAATACAAGCGATTACAGTAAACTGGTATACATGACATGAGCACTTGTTTTAAAAAGAAAAACTAAACTAAGATTTTAAAATCAGTCGTGCTCATAGTGTGGGACTAATGGTCACTCTGTATGAAAATTCACCTCAATATTCTTAGTGCATTATCTGATATGGCGCGTCAGTGTTTCAACAGTAAAAATATTCACCAGCCACGCGGTACCTTCGGACTCGACACCTGACCAAAGCATTTGCCAAAGTCTTTCAGCTTACCAGTCAGCGATCAGCCTGTAAAATGTGGGTGATCGGCTGTGAGGATAGCTACCTCACTCCGTGGAAACAACTTTGCAACAGTGAAACTTCATAGCTTGAAACCGCGTGTCCCACTCAGCATGCAACAAGTGGAATAATTGTGACTGACTTTATGTGAGAGATTGTTGTAACATATTTACTAACCTAAGTAGAATCAGCACATAAGCAACCACCATCGTCGACCTTGTATTATTTTACAGAGGTTATCCAGACTATCAACTCTAGTCATTTCTGAATCTCCATCTGATAAGTCTGCATTTTCACCCTATGACTGAACTAACAGTCGTCTACTGTCTTGAGTAACATTTGACTACAGTTTGGTCACTTTGACGTTTCTTCTTATCTCTTGGAAAATCTTTCGTATTGTTGCGTTTATCGAGGGGGTTGGTTAATCTGTAAGGTTTGCATTACCACTTTGTAAAACATTATAAGCGCTAACAACACCTCAGCAGAAAACATAAATGATGTGTAAAAAATATATAAATGTCCTGGTTTGTAAGCTGACTTCTTTAAAACTGCTATATATATATATATATATATATATATATATATATATATATATATATATATATATATATATGCGGAAAATTATCTCACTCGCACTTGCCCACATGTGAACATTAGCACAGTTAATTTGACTATCACATGATGGACACAGGTTTATATATACATAGGTTGCATTTTATCACCATTTTACTCTTTATAGGTAACAATCAATAGTAAAGTAGTTCAGATTTCGGTCATAAGAATATTATCGTGCTTTCTTTGGCGGCACGTGGGAGTGACTTTTCGAAACCATTATTTTTAATCCAGCCAAGTTTGTGGTCAGTTTCTTGTTGTAATAAAGCCTTGAACACAAAACTATTTCTCAATGAGATAATGAATTTGTATGTTTACTAATGTCAGAGGTGTAATCTTATTGAAATTGGAATTGTAGTATAAATGCATTAGTCAAGTTGTATACGTCTTCAAAAGGAATGATAAGCTATAAAGCCCGACTGACTGACTTGTTTTAAACGTAGAATTTTACAGATGTGCAGGAGTTTGAGTTGCTACACTCCACGTAGCACACAAAGCAAGAGGAGAAAGTTAAGAGAGTTTCAAAAGAGAGATAATAAACAGAAATATGAGACAAAAAGAATAGTAATATAGAAGAACAATGGAATTTTATTTGACACCATAAATCACAAGGAGTGGATGCATCTACGCCAGCCATTGACAATGATTTTCAGCCATATCACTGATCGTCTGCAGCCATCGCTTCTTACCATTCTGAGGACCCCAACCAGGAAGTCTACACCTCCCGACGTGACTTTAACTAACTGTCGTGGATTTCATTGACTGATAGGGCTATGCTTTGGTTTGACTACCTCTGGTTTTTTTCCAACCCGATCCATCCTGTGTCAGTTGACATTGCCCGTCGAGATAGGCGATGGCTAGATAGGCGTAACACATGTCCTAACCATCTCAATCGTCCACTGATTTCCCCTTCTTACCTAGCACTTGACGTCTGACCTTGATTCTGCTCACCCTATTGTACCACTTCACACGAGAGATAGAACATAGGCATCTATGGTCTAAGACAGCTAGGCTTTTCGTATCTTCCGCTTTCAATGGCCATGGAGCGAACTTCTGAGTAGTACACACGCCATTTGGTTGACAGCCAGCGGGATATCATATCTACTAAGCCAGAGGTGGGGTAAGTTGGCGGGCATATGTCGGACGAGCCTTCTGTATCCGTGCTGAGATTTCGTCAGCGAACGACCCGTTGGGACTGATGCAACTTCCCAAATAAGTAAAGCGGTCAACACGCTCGACGACTTTACTCCTTATTTCTAAGCTAGGAGTCAATGTAGTCCAGTACTGTAGCACCGTCTAACATTTGGCAGGAGCGAATCGCATACCAAACATTAGAAGATTGCTGCTCCCCAAGGTGTTCAGAAGACTATGCATTTTGTCAGCGTCTTCATCTAGAAGGATTATATCATCTGCATATTCTAAGTCAACGAGATTATTCCTTGGTAACAAGTCAATCTGTGAGTCGCTAAAATCAGCAGTTAGGGTTAATTCCATTAGTACATCTATGATGAAAGTGAGTAGAAATGGGGATAGTAGGCATCCCTATCGGACACCACTAGTCATCACCAGTTCAGATGACAACTCGCCATAAGCTTTCATTTGGCTGCATGAGTTCAAGTAGAGCAGAATGCCCTGATCAGTGCAATGTATTTTTTCGTCATCTCCTTTACATCCAAACCTCTCGGTCGACAGAATAGCTATAACGCCAAAATGAGAAATTTGCACGTAGGGGAAATAGTTAATTATTGTAATTGTCAAAATTATCAGAGTGTCTCCTCTTTCCAGTCTTGTAAGTAGGTGCAATCTATGGAAACTTGAACATCCTTGCACATTTTTTTCATTTTTTTTTCAATCTTCAGAGAAAAATGTGGTATTATTCCTCATTAGTTATTCGATTTCTTATAAATCTTTCAAGAAACCTTATTGATTCTCAATACCGGCTTCTAAGTCGCCGATCCGTGGATAACTTGTGTGGTGTTTTAGTTTAGGGAATTGTATTGTAACCGTATTCCAGCAATTAACTGTTTGTAAAAGTTGTTGAAATCTTACTGGTAACTATATAATCACCATGGCATCATTCATTTCTTACCCCTCATCAGTTATTAAATATTTAGTCTGAATAATATCTAGTATTTTGTAAACTTAACCGTGGGTACAATCCATAAAGTCATTGTCTGTTTGTCTTAGACGCATAAGAAGGTGTAGACTACCTGATTGCAGCCCTCTGAATTCCAATAATTAATAGTTGGAGACTGTTTCATAGCTGAAAATTGCTCAGAATAGTGCAGACCTATTCACTGCTTATTACTGGAACTACAAACGTTGCTACTTGTTTTTATTTAACTAACCTCCGTCGTATTCATGTTGCTACCTTGTAATACCATTACACTCCTTTTCCTTACTTTTATACCTGCTTTCTCGAAGTATGACAACTTGGGCTGATGTGCATTTGTACACATTGATTTATCAGTCAGACTTATTATATTCTGTGGATATTTTCAGTGTCTTTCTGGTTTTTTACGCTTGATATAGATGAAATAAGGTATTGATCATTGTTAGCAATTTAGAAGTTAAAGTATGCAGAACTTTGTAGTGCATTTCGTCTCAAAATCAGTATGTAAAAAGTTCAGACAAAATTTCATCGTCATTGTGTGTGTTACACGTACACAGATTTAAGAGATCTTCATGCAAAAGTGTAGGCTGTGTGAGGACTCTCATGGTTAAGAATTTACTTCTTTCACAGTGGAAGTGAAGCATTCATTATCATTTTATAAAATAAATTAGTGGTATTTCTAACTAGTTTTTAAATTTTGATGACTTATTTGATTGGTCTCTGAATCATTTGACAAATTCATACTTGCGTCAGTTATTTAGCATCAAACCCACGGAAAATGATTATATTAATACCAGTTCCTAATCTTCACATCTGTGCCTTGATATTTATCCAAGATTTAAAAGCTGTATTCAGGTTGAGTTAGATCGACTAGGCTTGATGCTACACTGGATAAGTTTATTTTATATAACACTCAGTGATACAATATTGATAACTGAATGAAGTTTTGAGCGGAATTTATCGCTCATAAGCATATCAATATATCAAGATTCCTGGCCGACAGCAACAACAACAGACAACAATCAGCCGGCATAAATGGAAAGAACCTGAAAGAAACAACCTCCTTTACCTACCTGGGAAGCATCGTTTCAACTACAGGCGGAACTGACGAGGATATCAAAGCCATAATCGAAAAGGCAAGACAAGCTTTCATAACTCTTAAGTCTGTGTGGAGGTCAACAGCACTCAGCATCAAAAATAAGATCCGGATTTTCAACTCCAATGTGAAGTCAGTCAGCGCTACTATACGGATCAGAGACTTGGCCAGTGCGTCATAAAGAGCATCTCAAACAAACTTCAGACCTTCATTAACAGCTGTCTTCGCTCAATACTCAAGATCAGATGGCCGGTCAGAAAAGATCAGCAACAGGGATCTCTGGCAATGAGCGAACCAACCAGGAACCGATTGTGAAACAAATAGGAAGGAAGAAATGGAGATGGATTGGCTGGTCATACTCTGAGGAAACCATCAAGTGACATCACTGGACAAGCCATTGCTCGAGTGGAACCCGGAAGGTAAGCGGCGAGTTGGTCGTCAGCGTGAGAGTGGGATGGCTTGGAGGAGGTCATGTGAAGAGGAGATGAAAGCGTGTGGGAAGACTTGGAGCGGGGTGAAAAGGTTGGCAGAAAACCGAAGGCAATGGAGACGCGCAGCTGAAGCCTTATGTTCCTCTAGGAATTAAAGGATATAATAATATCAATATATATTCACATGGCTTCATAATTTACTTTATATATATATATACTCTTCCCTTTGTTATTCATTTTAATTTTCCGCTGGAGTATGTATGATTTCAGTGGTTGAAAAGAAAAGCTCTGTTAAGTCAACTGCAGATGTACTTGTTATTAGGATGGCCAGAAAAAAGTTTTTAGGGTCTCATGTTAGCAGTTTAAGAATATTGCATTTCTCAATGAATTTTTTTTATTTAACAACATATTTTGCTTGCTCACTTTGTCTCAATAGCATGACTTTCTGACTAATAGATTAGCGTGCATCAAATTGAACGCTGGAAAGAACACTTTGAGGGACAATTTAACTTGCCTACAGCCACACTGAACCTCTCCGACATCCAGCACACACCCGAATGGGATATAGACACTGGTCCGCCGTCTGTAAGTGAGGTCACAAAAGCTATCAGTAATTTGAAACGAGGCAAAGCGGCAGGACCCGACGGAATTATTCCGGAGGTGTTTAAATATGGGGGTGACATACTAGTTTGTAGATTAACTGAGGTACTAGGCAAAGTCTGGGAATCAGAGACAGTGCCATCAGACTGGGGTAAGTCACTTATTATACCGATATTCAAGAAGGGAAACAAGTCCTCGTGTGATAATCATAGGGGGATCAGCCTAACGAACATAGTCTCTAAAATCCTAGGCTCAGTAATCATGCATAGACTAAGCAGAACTCGGGAGGAACAGACAAGGGAAAATCAAGCAGGCTTTAGACCAGGTAGAGGGTGCATAGATCATATCTTCACTCTTCGACAGATTCTAGAACATAGACACACTTTTCGGCGTCCAACAATTGTCATATTTCTTGACTTGAAGGCGGCCTTCGACTCCGTGGATCGAAAGGTACTATGGCAATGTCTGACTGTGAAGGGAGTGCCAAGAAAGTACATTGCACTAATCAAGGCACTCTATTCAAACTCACGTAGTCGTGTAAGGGCTTATGGGGAATTGTCATCTGAATTGGTAACAACCAGTGGTGTCCGACAGGGATGTCCACTTTCCCCATTTCTGTTTAACTTCATCATAGATATGCTGATGGAAGTATCCTTAACTGAACGTAATGACTTAGGAATCGACTTGTTACCAGGGAATAAATAGTCTTATGGACTTAGAATATGCAGATGACATAGTCCTGTTAGGGGAGGATGCTGACAAAATGCAGAGTCTTCTGAACACCTTGAGCAGCAATCTTCGTATGTTTGGCATGCGATTCGCCCCTACAAAATGTAAGATGCTGCTACAGGACTGGACCACGTCAACTCCTAACTTAGTGATAGGGAGTGAAGTGATAGAACATGTTGACCACTTCACCTATTTGGGAAGTTGTATTAGCACCAACGGACTGATTGGCGATGAAATCTCAGCACGGATCCGAAAAGCTCGAGCTGCTTTCGCTGACTTACACCATCTCTGGCGTAGGCGTGACATCCGGTTATCAACCAAGGGACGTGTGTACTGCTCATCAGTTCGCTCCGTCCTTCTCTATGGCTCTGAAACATGGCCAATACGCGTTGAAGACATGAAAAGGTTGACTGCTTTCGATCATAGATGTCTGCGATCTCTGTCTCACGTTAGGTGGTTTAACAAGGTAAGTAATGTTGACGTTAGGCGTAGAGTGTTGGGCAAAGAGGGAAAATCAATCGACGAGGCTATAAAGTTACATAGACTAAGATGGCTAGGTCACGTGCTGCGCATGCCTAACCACCGCCTCCCCCGACGGGCATTGCTAGCTGATATAGGTGCAGGTTGGAAAAGGGTAAGTGGTGGCCAAACAAAAACATGGCATCAATCCATGAAATCCTTGACAGTTAAACTGAGTCAGGTAGGGAGATGCAGACTCCCGGGTTGGGGCCCTCGGGACTCTAGGAATCAATGGCTGGAGACAATAGGTGACATGGCTCAAAATCGTTGTCAATGGCGCAGATGTATTCAGTCTCTGTAATCTTTCATATTCCTTTCTACCATTACCCATTCTGTTTCACTCTTATACTTGTCAAACTCTATTGATTCTCTTCACTCATCTTCTTGTCTACCTCTGTGTGCTATTTGGAACGTGGCAACTCGAACTGCTGCACTTCGGTGCCAAGTTCTATGTTGAATCCAGACAGACAGACAGTGCATCAAATTCAGAGTTCACATTTACAGACAGCGAATGAAGAAGTACAAAAGTAGAATGGCATTAGAATGAATAAAACTATTGTGTGTGTATGTTAATATAATTTAACAATTTATAAAAAGTTTTATAAGTTCAAAAATACATTTACTTTATCTTGCGTGATGTTATCATAGGTCTCTAACCCTTTGGACATAATAACATAAAAGTCTCAACTAGGCAATAATACTTACTTACATAATCTACAATTAACAAATTCATTTTGTGATCTAATCCTTAATGCATAGCCTTTTTGAAACTATAATACGCCCAATTTCCAAAAGCGCAACTACACTATCAGAATTATATTCAAAAAAGATTCCGTATAGTTTCTACAAAGATTTTCCTTGCGTCCAGAGCATCAATAAGATTTTTGTATGAAATACGGACAGTTGAAAATACTGAATGAATGACTTCCTTTAAATGTTTAATTTATACTGCCTAATCAGTAGTTTCATTAAATACAGGCGATTAAAAAGAGTGTATTGAGAACTCATTGTCATCTCTGATTGATTGGAAATTAGCGTCTTCAATGGTCACATTTGTTCTTTGTAGGGAGATAAACAGGCAGTTAATAAACGATTTTATCATCCTTTCATCTTTGCGTATTTGGCATCTACCAGCTAATATGAAATAATCGGGCTAGATAAAATGAAAACCAAACATCACATATAAGTCATGTGGTAATTTTAGGGGGTGGTTGGCGTTTGAATTCATAGTTTGACATAAACTTATGAATTAACTAACAATTTGACCTTATTTAGTTGACCAATACTCATTTCTACAGACAGATAATGTAAACAAAATAATCTAATAAATAACTGTTGGGATTTATAAGTTTTTTAATCACTGTTAGCTGTTCTAGACTTAAGATTATGCTCTATTTGAAAGTGTCCGTTTTTTTATTGTGCTTTGTTATACTTTTCAAAAAATTCAGTGGCCTTTGAGACAGAAATGTCTCCGATAAATTCGTAGCCAACATAATGGTCACTGTTGGTGCTAGGGCTAATTATGACTGTTACTGCTGCTATTAATAATCATTATTTTATACTTTTTGCTTCATCTTTTTTTACTCTACGTCTACTCAGATATTCTAGTCTATTTCATGCTATTCAAACAATTTATACGGAAGAGGGAATATATGCACTTTATCGTGGTTTTTCGCCTGCTCTGCTCGGTATTATACCTTATGCTGGGACAGCGTTTTTCACTTTCGAAACACTGAAAGAAAAGCGTCTAGGTAAAAATTGTTTCACTTTATGTATTACTTCTGTTTGGACTTTTGACTGTGTTTCATGAAAAAAAATTGCTTCCGTCTTTGAGAGTCGTGTTTCACTTGAAACGTTACAGACAGAGTGTGTATAGGGGGACTGATCGAAAGTATAGAAGCAACATGCTAAAATGTTTACAGATGTATTAGATTGGTCGACTTGCACTAGCAGGATTATTTAAGCGTGGAGCTCATTTCTTGGACAACTATTCGAATACAGACCGGATTGGAGAAACGAGGATGTTTAACTCACTAACTACTACTAGTGCAATTTAAGTACCAAAAAGTGTACAGTTTTTGGATGGAATTGTGATTGTATTGAAAAAAGAATTTAGTAATAAAGGAAGACAGAAAAACTCAAAGTTTCAGAAAGCATCCAAAAAAAATTCAGTGATGATGTAGTTGAGATGGTGATAAAATATGAGTGAATCTGCAACAGGTTGTAAATGTTATAGTGTAGTGTATCCCACCATCGGCCTTAGTTGAGTCATTTAGCCCAGTTGACCGACACTTTCTCATATGCTTCAAACTTAAAGTCATGGTTTGATAGCCTGGTTCTACGCCTCAATCTGATCACTTTCAGCTCTGTACGTTCGTTTACACTGTGTTTAACGCTTTCCTTAGTCATCTTGGCCAATTTAATTGCACAGATTTACGAACTGCCCCCATCTTTTAGTATACAATTCATTTCTTAATCTTCACGTTAATCATGAGTATTTTTGGGAGGTTTATTCGGTCACTAACAGTCCAAAGCTAATGAAACTTTTCAGGCAGATAAAATCTTCAGTGTACTTAAGCAATTCAGTCTCCGTTAGAGAGTAGAGTTAGAAAAGAGACAAAAACTAATCATAGAGTGAATATTAACTTTTAGGAAGTGGGGAATACATCTTGAAAACTCCAACAGTCATTGGGAGGTTGAAACACTTCATCTTGTTAGCGTCTTCATTTAGTTGGAGTGTGAAGTAAACGTATTGTAAGTCAAATGATGGATCTCTTACGTAAGGATTTGTCTCTTTTTAATAAGATAGGCACGGGGAAAACTCCTTAAATTCTCTTCTGGCATAAACACAAAAACGGGCACCTAGATACATGCCACACAAACCTATTGAATAACAATAACGTGATAAAAAGAGAAATAAAGTGATTCTCATCAACATAATGAAATAAGTAGGTCTATTTATTAAGTAGAGTGGAATATACAACGCGTTAACTGGAGAGTTTATAATCTACTCCGATCCCTCAGCCGACAATCACGAGCATAAAAATGGAGTAGCTATCATGATTTCACTAACAAAAGCCAAAGCTCTTATGCAGCGGGAACTAATCTTCCAGTTAACGTTAGCAAGGTTCAAGTCAAAAGGGAAAAAAAGTTACAACTATCCAGTGTTACGGGCCTACAAACTACTCAGAACAAGAGAAGAAGGAAGATTTCTACAGATAACTGCAGACAGTGAATGGCGACATCAATATCCTAATGGATGATATAACTGCCAAAATGAAAGTGAACAACACAGAATGAGAATTCATCATGGGTCAATAGGCCTTCGGCAAAATGAATGGGAAAGCAGAAATCTTCGCAGACTTCTACTCCTTCAGTGATTGGTTTACAACCACAAGGATATACACAGGGCAACTTGGGACTCCACCAGATGGACAAAAAAGTCAGAGAGGTTTTATCTCAATCCCATGAAAGGTAAGACATAGCCAGCTGAACACAAAATCGATAAAAGGAACTCAGCCCATTATCTAGTGCAAAGAACTATCACGACCAAGCTGAAGGCCTTCAAAGCAATTGGAGATAGACCATAATTCAAGTTCAGCACTCAGAAACTGAAGGACTAAACTAAAAAAGATACCTTCACTGCATCCATCAGAGCGAAGTCAGACACATGACATAGTGTCATCGAGGAAACCTGTGTGGAAGACTATTGGAATCCTCTTAAGTTCAGGATCAAGAAAACATGCACAACCGTTGTAAGAAGGAAGAGGAGGCAGGTGAAAGACTGGCCGTCAATGGATATCTGGAAGAAGAGAGGAGGATGGTGGACCAACGCAAAAGTGGACAATAAGAGGGGAAGCTGAGTTTAGTGTGTATCGCACTGAATCAAGGAGTGAAAAAGAGTGCTTGAAAAGACAAAAGATAATTCTACGACACACTGGTAACTGAAGAAGAACAGGCAAGTGTCAGGCAAGAGAGACCGCGGAACATCGTATCAGATACCCAGGTCTCTATACGGGAAGAGACCAACAGAAATGAAATCTATAAAAGATTGTCAAGGACAACAAAGTGCTGCAATTCGCCCAGAAAGAACTACCAGTGGACATCAGTCCTCCAACGATACCAGATGCCCTGAAGATAGTCAAGCTGCCAAAGTCTAGTAAAGTGGTACGACCTGGTGAAATTCCTCCTGAAGCACTGGAAACAGACCCAGAGACTACGACAGATGTACTGACGCCATTATTGCAAAAGTTTTGGAAGGAAGGAAAGGTACCTACTGATTGGAAGAAAGGCTGGCTCCCTTGTCAAGCTGCCACAGAAGAGTGGCGTAAGCTTCTGCCAGGACTGACGTGGAATAATGCTCTTCTCCACCCAAAGTCCAATACTAATTCGCGTCATCCTCGAGAGAATAAACAACGCTTTGGATGCCAAACTCCTCCTGGAACAAGCTGGACTCATGAAAATGAGATTGTGTGCAGACCGAATCGCATAGCTAAGCATCATAATTCAACGGAGCACAGAGTAGTAGTCGAATCTCTACCTCATATTTATTGACTTTGTAAAGGCCTTTGACAGCGGCGACTGTGGAGGAATTCGGAAACCACTTTCAACATTATGGCGTGCAATCCCCGGATCTTTATCTATCTCATTCGAGAGTTTTGTGACAATCTCACATTCCGATTGATTCACAACGGAAAACTCAGCAAAGACTTTGAAGTGAAGACAGGAGTAAACCAAGGCTGCCTTCTGTCATCGATGATGTTTCTGGTTGTGGTGGACTCGATTATACGTCAGACTGTGCACGGGTGTGCAAGACAGGAATACGTTGGATCGATAAGAAGCCTCTAGATGATCTGGATTTCGAGGTTGTTAAGGTATGTCTAATATCGCACAAACTCGAAGACCTGCAGACGAGTGTGTTGTGCTTTTACGGGATTCCTTTCATGGCCAAAAATTAACACAGCACCTGTCGGTCTATGGAGCCAGATGAAAAAATATGGCAAGTGTTGAACACTGGTTTGTAAGGATTATATTTGTTTTTACGACAACATTTCATCACCACCGTTCCTAAACTTATTTGGAATCATCCCATCGAGTTTTTCCTCGTTTCAGATTAGAGATGGCTTTTGCAACCTAATTTGCAGTTGAAGGATAGATGTCGACTTCCTACTTAGGTTGTTATTAGATGCTGGGCTAAAGGAGTTTGGTTGTAGCCAAGTTGAATCGCTCCTCATAGTGTTACCTTCAACTTCGTATTTTCATCAATTTGGGGCATAGCGGCATCATTGCTGCCTGATTTTTTATGTCCGTTCACTCAAAGGTTTATACATGCACGGACTGGAACGTGATGGGAGTTTACGCAAGTGTTCCAGAAGGGGAGTAACACTCTTCTATGTACTCTCTCTATCCATAGCCTGACGTTGATTTGATGATGGAGGCGATGTCATTACCTATGTGTGAAGTTAGTGCTGACGACGCACAGATGATTATCTGAACAGATGTGTAGAAGACAATCAACGGTTTGTCGGGATGGGATTCCATTGGTGGCCCCACCGTACTTTTCAATGACACCACTTCCTTATTTGTGTATTGAAGTCACCTGGTAAGACGACTGTATCTGAGTGTTTTGCTTTAAGCAGCAAATTAGACAGCTTTTGATAGAACTCATACTTTACTTCGTCCGATAAGTCATCGGTTGTGACGTAAGGGGGACTCCAAACATTCCTGATGTGTTTTCCACACTCATCCTTCATGCATCTGAGATTAGTTAATTGACTGTAGTCAGTTTTTCCCTACCTGTGTAGTGAATGCAGTATTACTAATCCCAAAAGCTGCTAGTTGAATCAAATTGCACAAATAGTGGACAACAACTATGGATCTTTTGCAAGTGTGTTTACCAAAGTGTGAATCACAAAGATTAGTAAAGATGAACAAAATTATTTGATTTAATTTTATCTTCACTATGGCTGTTTTGGATTTATTTCTCAATAATTAATCAAAGCGTACATTCTTTTTTATCAATGTGATATAGCCTAACCATTTCCTTATTTCTCTCAACAGACAGACAAATGCATCTCACTGGTGTACGGCCTAAAAAGTTACGTCCAGTAGAAAATTTGTGTTGCGGTGCAGTAGCGGGTATATTAGGACAGACTGCATCATACCCACTGGATATTGTTCGGCGACGAATGCAAACAGCAAATATTACAGGTCTGCTTCTACGTTGTAAATTTTAAAGATTATGTTGTCAGCTGTTAATTGTATTTGTTTAGGGGAACTGAGTAGTAAGAAAAAAAAGTTTTTCTAATATAAGCATTGAACTTGTGCACTGTGGTAGAGTATAATCACATTGTGAATAAAATGTGTTTTGATAAAGTCTCACAATTTACTGCTTATATAATCATATGAGCGATAAATTATGCTCGAAACATCATCAGTAAATATTACTGTATAACACTATGAGACTTTATCAAAATAAATTTTACCCACAATGGAAAACTTGTTCTGATGTAAATGTGACATTCACGCAGTACTTTCTATTAAAAAGAAAATCTTCCTTGACTGATTTAATATACAGTTATTTCCAAACCCATTGTCCGAATTCCACACGAACAGTAATTCCCCTGACTTAAGTCTACATATTAGCTGAAGAGATCGGGCTAACAGTATCTGTGCAAATGTATGTCGGAATTTGCCTGTAACTCTCTTAACAACCGCTTCAAACTTAGTAATCATTAGTCCCAAACTAGGACGAAATAGTTGTCCAGTATTCCCAGGTTTTCCAGTGGTTCTCTAACCGATATCAGCTCATAATGAAATCCTGTAACAAAAAATACATATATAGTGGAAATTGTAGAGGGACAATGGTTTTCAACAGCTTACTTGAACTACAGAGCTCTCAGTCCATGAATATTATCATCGAATAATGAGTAAATAGCAACATGTCTCGTGATTTACTGAGTTGCAGAACAAGTAGGCTTTCTTGAAGAGTGAAACTAGGTGTTACTTTTCCAACCAAACCAATGACAGCTACATAGGCGCATGTGTGCGACTTGAGCTACTACTACATAGTCATCCTTACTCAATTTAATTTTTTTACTTATTCACACCAGTTTGTCATTAAAAACACGGAACTTCGGGTAACAAGTGGTCTCTTCTAGGATGCCTAATTTCTTCTTTTATTCATAATGAAAGCTATAAAATTAACTCAATTATTGTGTGTACTTTGGTTAATTATAAGAATAATCCGAACTTATCCATCTTCAAAACTTATTTGTCCCTATAACCTTCAACATTTCTTGTTCTTTATGATTCTCTTTTCAAACGTTACATATTACTGTCATCACTCGCGTACTATAAATCATCCTCAATGCTTCCACTAAGCTTATTCTAGTGTATGTTTCATCATTAAACGACATCAGTCCTAATATCGTTGAAAACAAAGAGCTTTAAGCAATTTTTCCTGTCTGTAAGTGTCTGTAAGTATGGTATGTGCTTTGCGCCGTCTAAGTGCAAAGTACTGTTACAAGATTGGCAGGAGCCTGTACCTGCACTCACTCTTGCGGATGAACCGCTTGAAGTTGTTGACAAGTTTGTGTACCTGGGTAGTTGTGTGAGTGCTGGCGGAGGGGTGACGGATGAGATTTCCAACCGTATCATGAAGGCTAGGGTGGCATACATCAACTTGAGCCACCTCTGGCGCCGTCGCGACGTTAGCCTGGCTGTCAAAGGTCGGGTATACAATGCTTCGGTGCGAGCTGTCCTGCACTACGCCTGTGAAACCTGGCCTCTCCGAGCTGAGAATGTGCGGCGACTCTGTGTGTTCGATCACCGCTGTCTCCGCAGGATTGCTTGCGTTCGATGGCATCATCGCGTGAGTAATTCTGAGGTTAGGCAGCGTGTGTTTGAACAAAGTGGAGATCACTATTCCTTGAATGTCGTCATCTGGAAACACCGGCTCCGGTGGCTTGGACATGTGCTCCGAATGTCACCCCAGAGGCTTCCGTTCAGGTCTCTGTTCGCTAGCCCTGGGACGGGATGGAAAAGGCGGAGAGGTGGTCAGTCCATGACGTGGCGTCGTGGGATGAAGGATTTTTGTGCTAGATTAGCATCGGTTGGTGTGTCACGACTCCCTGGTTGGGGTCCGAGAGATAGCTCAAATCGATGGCTCGAAACGTTATCGGATATGGCCAAGAATCGTAATCAGTGGCGAATGTGTTGCAATTTCCTTCTTTCTTCCCTTCCTGATGATAGCTAACGAACACTGTTTGAACTTGTTAAGCATGACTGTTTTCCTTCCAGATGAAGTTCTTTATCCGTTCTCTACTTATATATATTTTTTCTTTTCCTTCCTTTTTTTTTTGATCTATGTTGTTTTATTATTATTGTGTGGCGCATCTTTCTTGGTGCCATATTGTACCAAGTTTTTTATGCGTTTAAATAAATAATAATTAAGCAATTTTTCCTGTCTAGTTTGCGATGGTTTGGAAATGCAAACTCAGGACTCCCTAAAGGATCAAATCTAAGGTCGTTGGCCTAGATAGTGGGCAATTCACCATATACCTTTCGGTTCAGAATTTTTTCTAACTCGCGATACAGACCCAGCTGAAATTAAATTCACAATCTTTGAGTCTACTCATTATAACTTATGCCTTGCAAATTGCATTCGTCGTCTATCTTAAGTAATTGTGTTCATTTTAGGTGTGGTTCAGTCTTAGCTATGGCTAGGATCGGTTTTTTTTTGCTTCACGTTCCCCAGCTGAACATAGGGCTTCAAGCTAGTGGCTTGAAGTTTCTGTAGCAGTGTTTATTTTACGGGATGGGGTTGCTAGCCTTTCCTCTTTACCAGCATTATTTCTGGCTTAGCGAGGTAAAGGAGTGCGTCCTGTGGCCGGGGATCAAACCCCGACCATGTGGATGGTCGGCGAGCGTCCTAGCCGCTATACCACCGATGCACACGGAATCGGTTAGTGGGTATTTTTTATATTTAGTTTTATTGAATTATATGTACTATAAAACCGTTTATCTCAACTGTAATATTATTCCACTTCATACTGTTCGTTGTATGTGAATATCCAGGGATTTGTAGATAAATGCGAAAATATCTGAAAGAATCGTTCGGTCAGATATTTTTGCTGAACTGGTGAAAATGATTTTTGTTGTCGTTTATTTCAACCTATATCTTTTATAAAATGTCTCTTTTTGAATGTATTTTTATTCCTCTTTACCAAACTACTCAACAATAGGTCATCCAGAATATACAGAAAGTGTGTATAAAACATTGCGGTTTGTGTATCGAGATGAAGGCCTAATTCATGGTCTTTACAAAGGTTTATCAGTTAACTGGATCAAAGGTCCGATTGCTTCAGGGATTAGTTTCACAGTCTATCATCAACTTCAACATTATTTCCGCCAACTAATAAATGACTGATCACTGCAGTAAATTTTAAATTCATTTTAGCAACCCTGTAGACATATATTTTTGAACTAAACTTGGTCTTTCCCACTGCATATTACGTATTTTTCTGCTTTCTTGTTTTTTAAATAAATGTTCGTACTGCAATTAGTCAACTTGTTCACACTTGCTGATGAAGATTTTATCCTAGTAAAGTGCATTTGATGCTAACTGCCTTATTGTTTGTTGTTACTTACTTACTTACTTAAATTATTTGTATTATTGTGCTTTGTTAGCCAAATCGAACGTAACCACATTCTTCATCAAGTGTTTATTACCTTATTTTTCCAAAAACGTATCATTATTTTTCTTTTGTAAAAACTCAGTTACAAACACCTATGCTCATTGTCTGTTGTCGTCTTTCTATCCTATTTTCACAAATTTCGCTTGAAACCTGTTTTACCTACTGTTTTGCTTTTGTGTTTGTTGCACAAGTACTTTGATTCCCTGAAAAAGGAGGTGAAGATTATGCCTTACAAAGGCATGCATTCATTATGAAGTTCATGGGCAGTACACTGTTCTCTCTTTGCATATATTTTTCTCTGTATAATAATAATTATTATCATTTGAACTATAGATGTATTAAACTTGTAAAATAGTTTTGTATTGTAGTAGTAACTAATTTGTTTTATTTTTGTAATGACTTATGTGGGCTCATACAATCTCAATGAATTTCATCTTCACATTTATTTTCTTCCTATTGACGGTGAGGTCGTATACAACTTAGTTCATGTTATCACCTGTTTTCACTTAGTTCTACCTGCTCTTGTTTATTAGCTAAAAAGAGACTGTCGTCACTGTTACTTTTCAGAATAGTTCTTCTCTTTCTTTTTGATTAGTTTCGCTCCTGAATATACGTGTGCTTGTACACACTTTTGAGGCAAGAAATTTACATATTTTTTACAAGCGAACTTTTACAGCTTTGTGTAAAAAAAATATGCTTGTCTGCGCTTCTTGTACGTGTCTTTTTCCCTTTCTCCCTAGTTTACTGTGAGCTAAAAGGCAAATGATTTCATTCAACAGTGACGTGTTTCTAAGTATCTTTATTGTTTATTTGCTTAGACGAATTATGAATCACTCGACTATTGAAAAAATCAAGGATTTCTTCACTTATTTATGAACCCACATTATCGGCGAAAGAAGAATAACTCGGACTTTATGGATCAGGAAGGGGGATTACTAAGAGTGAATATATCCTCCCCTACTGAGAAAGGGTCTTAAACCATGTCACTAACAGTCTCAAGTCATTGGTTCTTAGCCTCACTTGGACACCAACCAGTCAGGCTACACCTCCTCATGTGGCTGACTGAAACCAATAGTTAAAGATTTCATGGATTGATTCCAGGTTTTTATATGACGACCCATAACTCTTTGTCAACCTAATCTTATGTCGATTAACATTTTTCGCCTAGGGTGGAGGGTGTTGGCATTAGTGACACGTGTCATAGGCATCTCAATGGGTGTAGTTTCACAGCCTCACCGACTGACTTTCGCTCCCCCACCCTACGTAAAATCTTAATATTCTACTATTTAGCATGGAGATATGACGCAAGTACTTATTGTTAAAGACAGATAGCCTCTTCAAGTCATTCACTTTCACTGACTATACAGTACGCACGCTGTTTGTTAGATTTCACCTTAAACCAAATCCATGTAATGTAAATAATACTTATCCATGCCTGTACAACTGGTGTGTCCTACATAGATAGGAATAAATACTGCTGCTGAAGTACTGCTGAAGAGTCCCAAACTAGGACGAAACAGCTGTCCAGTACTCCCAGGTTTTCCAATGATTCTCTAACTAATGTCAGCTCATGATGAAATCCTGAAACCAATCAAATCCCTACAAACCAACACTTGAAAATATATATAATAATTTGCTTTATTCCAAAACATTACTTGTGATACAGAATGGAATTCTCGGCATTTTACTACAGTATTGCATCCAGTTATCAATAAATAAGATTCTACATAGATTAAGGTAATATCAGTTCATTATGACAACAACATTATTGGCATGTCGGTAGCAAAGCCGAAAATTGAACAGAGTGTTTGAAGGTGTTAGAAAAGTAGGTGCTAGCATATTTACTGGCGTAAGCAGAAGAAAGAAACAAAGCAGCACAAAACAGAGAAAATAAGAGAAAAGGAAGAAAGAAAACGTTGCACCTATAAATGATATGAGTTGGAAAGACGAGATCCAGTTGTTCTACTGATTATTTAATAAGTTATAGGTATCACGCCTAATGCTTTCTTTATCGCACAGAATACGAGCTAAGTAGAGTATGGTTGAGTTTTTGTACTTACTAGTGCGAGCATATAGTTTTCTATATAGGCTTCTGGTTTTGCCTGATGAGATACAAGGGCAGATTTGTGAATGAAGAGGGTATTGTGAGTTAGATAGAATGGATTTAGCCTGTTTTTCACATGAGTCCAAGTGCCTGTCCACCAGAATATTAACAAGCTAGCTAAGTGGCACACTGCTTACCCTGCTGACAACCTTTAACATCCTGTGTAACAAGGTATACTCTTTCTTCAGTAGTCAGCCCAGGAAAAACTAAGGGGGAACAATAGAGAGTAATAGGCAGAATACGAGAATTAATGAATTGTATGAGTAAGGGTTGGGTTATACCAGAATGTCTTAACTTCTTGATGTAGAAGGTAAGACGGAATATTTTCTTAGCAATCATCAAGATATGAGACGACCAGGAAAGGTCAGCAGATAGAATGACGCCTAGGTATTTAATTTCTGATTTGGTTTCTATTTCAGTGCCATCTATGTTGCACACCTCGTGAGTGCTAACCAGTTTGTTTAGGTCCGATTTGTGCCTAAAGGTGAAATTAACTGTTTGGCATTTGGAGGGGTTTAAGGTGAGACCGTTTTCCTTGGACCATTGGCTGATTTCTGATAAGAAGCCATTTAGTTTGGAGCAGTCACTTTGACATTTGACAGGTAAAGATACAGTTAGGTCATCAGCATATTTGACAAAGTTAATGTCATTTGAAGATGGTAGGTCATGTAGGAAGAAGAAAAAGAGAAGTGGGAAGAGTACAGCACCTTGGGGGACACCAGCTTCAGTGAGCACAGCAGAGGAGGATTCGCCTTTGTATACGGTATACTGAATTCTGTTTGAAAAGTAGGAATGCAACCAGTTAGTGACCCAGGACTCAGTTTGTGTCATAGAGAGCTTATATAGCAAGAGACATCTAGGTGCAGAGTCGAAAGCAGAAGTGAAGTCGAGAAACGTGCAGCGGACGTATTTGGCACCTTTATCTAATGAGACGATACTGTTGTGTAAGACGGCTGCAGCGTCTAATGTGCTCCTACCCTGTCTATAGGCAAATTGTTTGGGGTCTCCAAAGCTTTTAAGGGATAATTCGAGTTCGAGATAGCCTAATTTAACGTCCACGCGAGAGGTGATATAAGTTATCAAAATGCCATACGAGCCTTTTGTTCTTGAGACTGTCCAACAATAGAAACTCCCGACCATCTGGGTTACTTGGCTAGCACGTAAACGTATAACTGCGGGGTCGGAGTTCAGCAACTTATAGTTCCTCATATCTGAGATTCACTCTGTTTTACTAAAACTGCTCATTTTCCCTCTAAGTAACCTATTTAAAGAGTGCCATAAGTGAACATCTGATTCACCATTGCCTAGGAATTGATTTATTTCACTGAGCCTCGTCCGTGTGAATTTCCAGTTCAACTGGAATTTTTAGTACTAAATACATTTATCATGGTATGTACTTCTTTCCCAGGCGTTCTCCTGACTACTGGCACTTTTTTTAATAGTTGGTATATAACCATTCCAACTCTTAGAATTTGAACACTTTAGTCCTTTTAAAATCTAGCTTAAGTTTCATCAACCCTAAGAAAGAACTAAATAAAAATTTCAAAGTAGAACTTCTTGCAAACCAAGTGCAACAGTTCAAGTTACTATATCATGTATAAAGGTGGAGGTAGGAAATACAATCTAGCTAAAATAGACAAAGAAATTTGTCGGAAAAATCGTAAATAAATGAAAGATAATGAAGACTCAATTAATCCCAAAGGACCAAAAAGGGATACATATACGGTATGAGACATTTTGAGCTATGTCTCCCACAATTGATTCTCAGACTGTCGAAGGCTCTACCCGAACCTCCCTACATGGCTAAAACCAACAGCCAAGTTCTGATCTGCCTACCAGGATTCTTTTCCAACCTGAGCGAAAATTGCTCGTAGAAGGTGATGGGTCAGAATGTGTAACACTTGTTCTAGACATCATAATCATTGGTACTTCGCAAATTCATTGATTGATTTTCCATTCTGAGCCTAACTTTATTTTTACTTACCATGTATCACAACACGATAAACTGATTGCAATTGGCCTCTTCTGTCTTCAGCGGACATGTCTCACGCCTGCTCTGTTATTATTATTTCTTCGGGTTTCAAATGGAGCATAGGGCTCCAGCAGCACATCACCGTCTCACTCACTTCTCTAATGGCTCCACAGTAGTCAATAAGCCTTCATTTCGCCCTCATATGACTTCATCTATGTCACACTTGGATGCCTAACTCGTCAGATTCCACTCCAGAACCTGTGGGTGGTGTCACTTGGTGATCTCCACAGCGTATATCCATTTCATATCCACTCCTGTATATTTGTTGAGTGATAGGTTCCTAGTTGGTTCATTCCCAGAGTTCCTGGTTTACCCTTCATGGCCATCTGATCTTGAGTGTAGAGCGAAGGAAGCTGGAGATAAAAGTCTGAAGCCTGTCAGAAATCCTTTTGGTAATATGCGTGCCAAATTTCTGACCCATACAGACGCATTGACTTGACATTAGTATTAGAGATTCAGGTGTTGTTCCTTGTGCTGAACACTGTAGACCTTCACACTGATTTCAGAGTGGTGAACAGTTTTCTTGCTTTACTCATTTGGCTCGGCGTGGCGCCGACATCCTCATCTGTGCCGTTTGCCTGTAGTTAAAACAATGTTGCATAACCAAGCTAGTGAAACAGATGACTTCCCTTAAACCTGTTGCGTGGATGGTTATTGTCGATGTTGGTTAGATACTCCTGTCTTCTCCATTTACCAACTTATCGGATTTTCTGGTTAATCTTTTACTTTGTGCTACATGAGAGATAAATCATCTCCGAAATCCAGACCTGGGTTCTTTTTATCATTCCAGTGTATGCCTATCTCCTCACTTCTTACCCACAGTCTGCCATATAATCCAGTCTACCACAATCAGAAATAACATTGCTGATTGTATGTACCACTGTCTTCACTTCAAAAGCTTCACCGAGTTTTGGATCCAGAGCAACTCCTAGTCTCCCCAGGATGATGTGGACTAATGTTTTTCTTGGGATAAACGACAGCATGATTTCACGTCAGATCATGTAAAGGCCTAAACAGTTCGTACCTTCTAATTCTTATGCAAAGTGGCATGAGCATATCTACTGAGTTCTGTTTTCAATTCCTGCGGATGCATTCCATCTGGTCTTACTGTTTCCTTGGCTTTCAATAAATTTACGCGCCTAAAGACTTCCGCTTTGTCAGAGAGTTGGTGTTCTCTGGCAGGCCTAGCTGCAAGTAGCATTTCCGGGAGAGTTATAGGTGCTATAGATTCAATTATCCTTTGAATCCATCAGCTCAAAGTGTTTTCCCTCTTCTTTGGTAATTAGGTTTTTTCCATTGTAGGGCAAGTCAGGATACATAGTTGTGCGAAACTCCCTTTATTTGTTCCCCTTTTCCATATTTGAAAGTATGCATATCTGAGGACAAAACTTTACTTTCACACTAATATCTACCAAAATTACCACTTCCCTGTCAGTCCCCAATCAAGTGTTAACATCCTACATCACTCTGATAACTGCTCTTAGTTTAACTGTTATCCACATGACCTTTGTAGCATGGTAGGAACTACAGAAACATTCCTTCTTGCTAGTGTCACTTTTATTACATTGCGATGTGTAACGCTAGCTAACACGTCAGAGTAACAGCTATCAGTCAACCCTTCTTAAAGGAATAGGGTTTAGACTACTGAGCACATCTCGCACACACAAAGTGTCTAAATATAATTTAATTCAATTTTAGATTTCCCTGTCGATTCAATTAAATAATTTATATGACCCGTTGCGCAAGACATGGCTTTCGCTCCCCAAGTGGTCTAGTGGATAACGCCTTAGCGTTTGAAACTACGGGCACTGGTTCGAGCCCCGGTTGGAACATTACCACTTACTGGGCAATGCAGATACATCCATATGACGATTCCCAAATAGGACGGAATGCGCATCCTGGATTCTACTGCTAGTCACCATCCACCAGCTTACTTCATGTCTGAATAAAACTCACTCCAAATTAATTACGTAGGGATTAAGAAACTGTAAGTGTTCATCCAAAATACTAAACTAGGTTACGAAATATTATTTGATCACAGAACGTCGACCAGTAATATCTCCGTCCTAATAATCCAGTTTCTCACTTCACTTTTCATTTATATATATAAATGAAAATCAAATACATAAATAAAAGTTATATATATATGTTTATTAAAGATATGCTTCTGTATTGTTACATACACTGGTACCATACAGAATGCATATTTGTTTATTAGGGTAAAGCTTAATGAGATCAAATCAGAACGTTGCACACAAGTGCAAGATTTGGATACCTACTATGTGAGGAATGTTACTGCGGCGTAGAAATGCACGCAGATATTTTTCACTTCAAGTTCCGACAAAAATGAGTTTAACAGTTAGTGTAATGCAACGAAGATTGGTGATATTATTAGGGATTTCGGTGATAGAGAGTGGATGTATATGTGCTGTTGTGATCAGTTTTAAGGAATTTAGCTAAGATTTGGCTACCACTGATTCATAGCATCATTATGCAACTCAGACCAACAGTCATCTTTTGGTTTGGTCTCTTAGTTCTTTTCCTCTCTATTCCTACTTCCTCTAACGTTACTTTACATACCACATGTTGCGATAACATCTATCGGCAAAGATTCATTATACCACTTATTAACTTACCTTTACTTACCAGTTTGCTTCTAACTTCCGCTGCGTCACTTAATTCAGAAAAAGCGAAGAAGTAATAGGATCATATAAGTGGCAGGTCAGGAACACAAACATCTATTCATGGAGAGTTGTTGGGAGGCTTGGGAAACACTAGCTCCGACCATGCTGTCTGACAAATCATTATTTTATCACCTGAATATTGCAGCTATAGCTTCGTTGGGATTTTATTTGTGCTTAATTTTGTGAAACTTTTCATTGACTACAAACTTTCAGCAAAGAATCTCATACTTTATTTTATTTCTCTTTGTCCAAAGAAATATGTGTGTACTTCGTTTCGCTAAGCATTCAATTCAGATAAATATAATAATACCGTTGAGTTATTTAACACTCACTTCGGAAATTTCTAACGCGCACAAAATATATAGCAAAGTATATCGGCCGTACGTAACGTCATGTCCACATACGTATTCTGGAACATTGCCCAGCTTGGTTAGCCAGAGGAGAAAAGAAGAATAGCAGCAACTCAATCCTCGAACAACTTGTGATTTCCGGACATCGAGCACCCCCGCATGAGTGCTGCATAGAGTCTCTCAGTATCGTACAAACGGAATTCGCATGCGCCATCTGTAAATAGCTGAAGCATTAGCTATTCCGGATCTTAAACCGGACCTCTGCATTCAAAAGCAATCCATACATTCTTACTGTAAATTTGCTTGTTTTTATCATCCTATGAAAATGAATCGTCGAAAAGAAAATTATTATCTTTTCTGGTAATCTGCTCACTGCATGAATATTGAAAATATCAAGTAACAGACAGGATTCCTGACATCTGACTTTCTGTTTTCCGGCAATTATTAGTAAAACTTACTATCAGTAAATTTTCGAGTTATGCTGACCGGAAAGAAAACAAATCCTACAGATTGAGGATACCTTTTATTATTATAATGTGTAAAGCTGTGCCAGTCACTCTTTCTTTAACACGAAACAGTATGTACAGTCCACCCAAACAAACGTCAGAATTGTGTATATCCGATGTCTGAATTGCAAACCCCAATGAAACTCATTACTTTCACCTGTTGCAATCCAGTCCGAACATCACCCCGAGTGGTTTAGTAAAGGGCAATCAAAATCTATTCGTAGCGCTATTCTACCTCATCTTGTGGATACAGAACACAAGATTGGTGTCAACGAGGCTTTCAGAGTCATTTACCGCATACCAAAATATCTTGACATCGCCTTAAGACTTCGTTTACTAAACATTGCTGAGGCCTTTGGGATCCACATTAAGGAGCCTAATTTATTTGTCCATAAAAAGTTAGTTTAGGCACCGTCTTTACCTTGGCCACCTAGGTCCGGAAGATCCCCAATTTTTGTAGAAATTTCCCTAATTTTAGTTGATATTCTATTTACTATTATATTTTTATTACTATTATAATTGAAGCATCCTTAATGAACTGTAATTCCATTGATCTTACTTAACGAATTGATATTATCTAAACAACACTGATATTTTTATTGACTACTATTCTAGAATATTCTGTGTATATTAACATATATATATATATATATATAATTGTAGAGCTAGAAGATCGAATTCTCGAAAAGAATATTCTTTGCTCAATTATTTTGTGTTTTATAGATTTCTGAATGAATATTTTCGCTATATTGGAAAAATGTTTATCTTTCTATAATGACCCCTTTTTACGCTTATTTCATTTCTATTTGTTTCTCCATTCCGCACGTGATCGTAATTGCAGACTATTCAGACTCTGTAGACAGAAATCAGTATGCCTAGTATTCAGTGGTCCTGACATGTTTTTTACATGCTTTATCAAGAACAAAAAACGACTTTTCCATTTATACATTCAGTAACAGAATCAAGATGAAAACTGATTCACATAAAGGATAAAATACTTTTAAAGTGGTGGCAGAATAAGTAACGAGAAAGAAACAGATCTGTATCATCATTAATTTTTTGTTTATCTTTGGAAAATGATTAGTGGAAAACCAGTTCCAACAGCTGAATATTTTAAAATGTTTTAGCTACTATTAAATTAACAGTAGTATATTTCCTCTTGTGTAATTTAATAAAAGCGGCCACAAAAATGCCAGGCGACTGGTCGTGCAGCAGTTGACATTTAATCAGATTTTTGAAATATTTAATATCCTATATGAATATATATATATATATATATCAAACTTCAGACAGTTTACTGGGCTAATAAATTGGTCCGTTATGAGTAGTAAATTCAGATTAATGAATACTGTGATGGAAATTCAGGAGTATCACCACAATAATTCGTTGGAACATGGTTTGTGGAATCTCCATCATCATGTGCTTCATTACGACTCATATTCAGTCTCTCTGTTAGTGATCTGGAAAATAATTCTGTTGTAATATAATCCGTCTCATTTATATCTAGATTGGTATATGTTTGTACATAGTTTTCGTTGTTTGATTTATCCGCCATTAAATAAAATGGAAATTTTACCATATCAGTGTTAACTTCTGACAGACTAGATGTTAACTGAGGTGGAGCAGAAAATGGAGAAGATGTGGAAGAAGGGAGAAAATAAGACATATCAGTTCTGGACAGGTCATTTCCTAATCTGAAAGTATCTTTATTGTGACTTCTAGTAAAACCGGAATCACTGTGATGTAAACAATCTTGTTCAATATGTTGATGGTATATTGTTGTATTTGTGTGATTGAATGCAGCTCTTACCATTAACTCAGCTCCCGTAAACTGATGCAATCTTTCCTGATCAGGAGTGTGGCTAGTAATCGACATCGATTTTGTCTGCAATGCCGGGTCTATGAAATGTGATGAGTTACTGGCTGCAGATGATTGGTTAGATGATCCATGTAGATTTTTATTCGGAATACTTGATTCTAACATAAAAGGCAGTTCCGATTCATTATTGTTAAATGTCAATAGTGAAGAAGATGTTGACATCGACAACGAAGAATTATTTGCCTCACTTTTGTTTTCGTTTCTAATAAACTTGTCAATTTGTTCATTTGAATCGCCCATCATAGATGAGCTATGATCTGCTGTAGACATAAAGGAGCCGTTTGTAGTCACCTTCAAAACATCTGTAGATAGGTGAAGAAATAAATGAATGCTCATTAGTAAGCTGTTTTTTGAATGAGTAGGAAAAAAGGTATTTCGCTTGTCAAAAACTGTATATTGGATATTTTAGAATGTGTTAATCTAGAAGTTTCGTCTGCGAGTAACTATTTTACTTCAAGTAATCATAATTCGTTGTCCTCATTTTTGGACAGCAAGTCTTGAATTTTACTGTGAACTATCAGTTGCCAAAAGAAGGTTAATATTCATTAGTAAAATGTGAACTTTGGTTTGACTGTGAATGTCCGCAATTAGAGCCAGCGTTTTGTATGTAAGTTTAATGTTTTTTAGAAACCCTCAGAGTATAACCGAAAGACTTCAGCTCATTTTACCCAACCTAGGAGAAAATTCAGCAGTAAGAAGTTCAATTATTTTGGCTTATGATATCTTTCATTGCACATCTACTGGCCTATTGTACTACTGTGAAGTGAAAAATAAGAACAACAGTATTATAAGCCAATAAAAATGACTACAATAAACACTGACACATCTGCTTCTCCGGAAACTTTGTTTTATGTCTCATTGGAATTATGAATTTAAGTGATACATTTTATGAGTTCTTACCTTTAGGGTATCATCATGTTGAGTGGTACTTACATCGGAAATTTGTTCAAAAAACATTTTAGAATTAGTTGACAAATCACTACACGAATACAGATTCACAGAAATATACAGCAATGAGATGTTCAGAAGTATGATTATAGCGACCTTATGCCTGACGAATATTCCCAAAGTTGTGGATCCATTTACTGGCCAGACTTTTTGTTTACATGAAATTAAAGGAAGTTGTTTAGATGTAATTGACTGCAATATCTTGCCTATCTAGCTACAGAGGTTACGATGATATCTAGTATGCCTAAGCAACGAAATCCTGGCTGACAGGAGAATTCACTTACAATATCTTAACGTATTTAGTAACTATATAAATATAAAAGCTGCTCAACTAAACCAACCAGCTCAGAGAACACTACTAGTTGCGAGCCATCCACCTGAGCTACAAATCTTCTCTATTGTTTCAAAACTATATAAAAACTTAGTTTGTTCTCAGGCCGTCATAATGAATATTCGTACTTCTAACAACAGAACCCCAGTAGGGTTCTAGGTGTACTAGTAGTCAAACTGTAAAATTATATGTTCAGTCTCCGTTTCCTTCTACAGATTCCTTCGGTGCTAATTTGTTGGCTGGTTTGTTATCAGAGTTTCTTGTTGTTTACCCTTCTTGTTAAAAATGGAAAAATGGTTGTAAACCTAACAGCATCAACCCATGGAAAACGAACCTACAGTTAGAGTTACTTCAAAACCCAGAAAAATAAACTTATTCTCCGTGGTAAGATCTGCCAGTTCGAAGACGGTTGACTCCAGCAAGTAAAAGCCTTCTGTAAGCCAGTTTTCCTTTGATAAAAGTAAAAGTAAACACGGGAACACTAAATGTCTGTACCATGTGCTGAATCTGGCAAGACAGTCTAAATTGCAGAAGAAAGGAGAAGATATGATACAGAAGAGCTAGGAACCAGTGAAAAAGGATGGGCTGGAAACAGGCTTTTCAGACTGCCAACTGAAGGGTTAGAAGTGTACTCAAGTAACCCAGGGAGCGACCATGAAGACTCTGAGGATGTAGCTAGTATGATATGACCAGCAGTATCGAATGTTCGCATTCAGCAAAAAACTCTCTTCTAGGGTAATGCCTGAAAGATTGAACTCAACAGAAACTCTTCAATATTAGGGAATTATTGACCAAACTAAAAATAAAATCCACCCATTTTCAAGTCAGAAAGCAATGGCAGCATTTTTCAGTGTTATGAAGCTTTTGAGGATGAAGTGGACACATATTAGACTACAAAATGTGTCACTAGTTTGTTTTTGTCTTCTAGTTCTATGTTCACATTCATCCTAAATTATTAACATGTATATCACAGCTTCTCCATCATTTCTTTAGACCGGCTATTGATAAACACTGTATCAGTAGATTATTGACTGCTATACATCTATTTTAGAAAAAAGTAGGATGTTCCTATGGTCTTTTGTCTTACCCAAAAAAATATCAAATACTTCTTATTTCCTCCACTATTTTGCACTTCCTCTTTAGAATGAAATATTCGAATTTCCTTACGGTCGTACAGTAAAGACACCATTTCCGGGTTATTATGATTATCCCTATATGTAGACATATAAACACTGTCATATTTGAGACATACTTATTTCCAGTAAACCGAACGGAAGACTGAATAAATCAAAAATGTTAGAATAAAACCTCTTCATACGGATGTAACGATTCCAGCAATATTTGGTGTTTTTGTTACCTTATTGAGTTGAATTTTGTTCGCTGACTGGTAAAAACAGAATTGACTGTCCTTTCACCGAATGTTAAATAACAAATAGTCCTTCTAGTATGCTTACCACCGTTAGTAGTAGCGACTATAACAATAGTAGTAATGATGTATCCTGACTATTATTTTGCGGTTATGATTATTTCCAGTATTATTAGCGGAGTATTTTTTTTAAATTTGTTTCCGATCGTGACAAACAATGCTAACCTCATAAGTACTGTCAACATTTGTCAATGTCTCATCCGTTTCATTATCTCATATATCTTTCCCACTCTCTACAGTTGTCTAAAAAGAATAAGGCAGTCAGTGGTAATATTGATTTCTCGCATTTTAAACAATAGTCTTCATCATAATGGGATTTAAATTATTCATGGAATTTTCATTGACTAGAAAACAACGATCGTGCGAGAGAAAGGAGAAAACCCTTAATTTATTCATTTTCTGATTATTTTTCTTGTTGCTAAAATATACATAGAGACATTTAAACACAAAGATAAATAAAATAACTACATATTTAACTGAAATACTTGAGTCGAATTCATGCAGATTTACAGGTTTTCTCAGCCCACTCCCAATGTTTCGAACACCAAAATGATAGAAGTAAAACTCGGTCATATACACTACTGACGACCTCAAAAATCTGTTTCATAGAGATACTACGTTGGCTAATCTGTGTGACTTCTAACTTCTTATGATATTCATTTGTTCATGCAGTCAGTGAGCGATACTTCAGTCCCATGAGTCACAACCGATTGGTACACATGAATGGCAGCAGCAAAATGCTACGTGAGGTATGTCAATACTGACTCCTCAAGTCTCAAATTATGTAAAAACTATTTGCATCTAGTAATTAAACTTTGTCCTAATGAAATTTTCGTTTCATAATCAACCTAATGAGGATCTCTTCTTATTTCGAAATTACCATGGAATACTTAATCTTAAAACCAGTTTCACCATTCTTATTAGCCAATAATGTGAAGAGATGTCATTTGATGTTCTAATAGTTTTGTATGATAATAATATTGTAGCAATATAAGAATATTATATTCATAAGATTTCATTAGCAATGTCATCAGTAGCTATTCGAATGAAATCTAATCTTTAGTAAGTAAGATTGTTTTCTGGAGAGGTGCACTTCTTCGAAGTCGATTCTTAAAGTGACTACCAATACATCCTACTTAAGTGTGTATGCATCAAATTCACAACAGTTTTTCACTAGTTACCTGGACAACACCTACTTTTCACGAAAAATCCATTCCAGTACTCAAGTAATTATCAAACTTGTTGAGTTTGTTACTGAAATACTTCAGCTAGAGAACAGAGAGCTAAGAAACACTGAAAGACAGCGAATATGAGCCTAAGTTCACCAGTCCTCACTGTGGGCATGTCAGCATTCATTCACTAATATGTGATCCAGTGTTGCATGTTTTCTGCTTGATTTCCAAATACTATACTAAGGTGGAGGACTATGTGGTTCCTCACTATGTTAAACTTATCCATTCATCGTTCTTGAGTGATAAATTTTTGAACTGTCACTTATATACCAAACTAGGTGTGATTAAGACACTATTCCTCTTCTGTATTTGTCATATGATAACCATGGGTTGTCAGAAAACTTAACATTCACTTCTAACAAAATGGGTGATATATTTGGTATATATATATATATATACATTATTCTTCTACCAACAGACTGTCAACTCATCCATCATACGTCAGAATGTACATACATATAGGATAAGTACCATATCTAGACTTTACGCCTCTGATATTCAGTGTATTCAAAATCGGTAGGTTACCGCCATTTTTCGTAGAAGTGAAACATAAGGACAGAACGGAGCATAACCTTACAAAATATCTTGTGACTCTGGCCACCAAAATTCATAAAGACGAGTCAGCGCATTTTAAATTTGTCATAATCAATATCCAAAAGTACCGTTTGTCTCTAAACTAGATTGAATTCCCCGCTCTTTTTTGAGATTTCGAATCTTTTTTTCATCAGTATAATTACGGAACTTACCGCCCATTTGTTGAAGCCCTGTTAAGTCAACTTATGTAGAGAATTGGAATGTACATTTAAGAAAATAGCAGCTATTTACCTGTTGTTCAAAATTATATACACTGCCACCTAATTGCGTTATCACTCGTTATGCTAGTAACCAACACTGATCCCCATACGGGGACGAATACCGATGGGTAGTGTATTTATAGATAAAATAACATAAGAACTCTTTCCTTTATGAAAGATAAAAGTGGTGCTTATATAAAAGTTATTTACAACATGACTTCATTGATAAAGTATTCGCATGATAACTTCGTAAATATAGAACAGAATTTAAGTCGACAGGCATTTTCGTTCATTTCTCGTCAGGCTTTACAATTGCATAAAAAAATATTGATCATTGACATTTTAAACCAGTGGGGTTAATAGAACTAAAGTTCAGAAACTGTTCAACCTGATTAAGATAACAACTGTAAAGTCATTGAGAAGTTTCATGTTGGGACATATAATGGATACGGAGCACAAGAGTGATAAATGTTCAGCCTTTACGATCTATACAAGGTGACACCTCAATTCTCTAGGTGTGTACACCTTCAACTGCTAAGCATAACTGAGTCAGTTACCATAAAAAATGTCAATCCAATCTATCTGTTCAGGAAATGCTCGTGCAGTCCCTCTCCCACCCATGATTTTTACCACGTACCTAGTCGCCCAGCCCAGTGACATCGAATAACTCTAAATATTATCTCTGTTTTACCATTAATTATATGTGTACTATTAATAACATGCTGTGCTATAGTTGCGTATGTTAATCTTAGTTTCACAATTTATTATAAAACGCAACACTCTGTTATATAATCTCTATGGGACGATAGTTATTTTCCACCCCACCCCTGCAAGCATAAACATTCTACTTGCGTATTCATAACGACTAATGTTATTAATATGATCGCCTTGATTAATATTCATCAAGTCGTATACCTAAACTTGAACTCTATTACCCCTATTAATTTAAAATGTCTGTGATTAAAATTTTATTATTTAATTGTAAAGCCTGATGAGGAATTACCGAAAACACATATGTAGTTAAATCGTGTTCTATAATTATTATAAAAGAAATATTTTAATTATTTCCTTACTTACCTGTACATTTAACTCCAGAATGTCCTAATTTACATTTTCGATGAACGTTCACATTTTCCCTTTCTATTAATTTATTTTTATTTGCTGGTGTACTCGATGGTAATTTTGATGGTGTGAACACCGGTAGTTGTGACAATCTACTTGGAGATGCTGTAGGTTGTATAGTTGTTCTGGTTGCTACTGTTGATGTCGTTGCCAAAGAAGATGATGAGTTCTCCAAAAACCTACTGATATCATCTAACTTTGGCGATGTGTGTGATGTACTGTTCAGTAGAAAGTCATAATGTTTCAGTAAAATTGGTCTAAGTGTTGGATCCTGTGAAAAATCAGTTTGTTCATTTCTGTCATTATGTGTACTAAGATTATGATTTGATTTATACGATGTGAAATTGTGATTATCGTGCAGTCGCCGTTGTTGTTGATGTTGTTCAACGTGTTCGATGAGCTGTTCTACCTCCTGAGAATCGTTATGGTGATTCTGAGGATGTTGGAAGTAAGAAGCAAAACTTGTCTGCTCTTCGGGTTGTGGCTGTTGCAAAGGAAAATTTTCAATTGTATCATTAATTAATAAGTTCATATTTTTGTGTTTTCCGCCCAATGAATATCCATTCGCATATAACGAATTAAAACCATTTGATGCCGCCATCGTTAAACCTAATAAGCCAGTAATGCTATAGTCAGTAGTTGACAATGTGTTATTGCTACTATTGAAATATGTGAAATCATTAAATGCATTTATGCCAGATAAAGACAAATTATTGGTGGATTTTTGTAATAAGTGATTCGCATTAATATTTTCATAGACATCATTGGAACTACCGGGAAGAACAGATAAGGGATACATTTGTGGATTTCTAGACAAATCTGTACTATCCCCTGGTGGGAATCGACTACACACTGAGCGTTGAAAGTACTCATCGATTGTTTGACAGTTTTGTGGAGGTTTTCTTTCATGGGAATAATACGAATCCAATTTGTATGGTACATCGTTTGAGAGTTTATTCGAATTTTTCTGTTGCAAAATACCACTTTGACCGGATGTAGTAGCCGCGATGTTAGACGAATAATTTTTGTTGTTTCTTTCGTTCCCACATTCACTTTGCTTGTCTTGAGTAAGTTTCACATTTAAATTACTTGAATGATTTTTGAAAAGCTCGCAGTTATCAGCTGACGGAAGATTTGAATCTGCTGTCTGATTTAAATGTCCACTAGTTTCATCATAATTCTCATTAAAATTTGATATAAACTGATTATAGTGTGAAGAATTTACAGCACTGTTGTTAATATTATCATTATTATGAAATGGATAGGGAAATTCTGTGTAGTTGCTGTTAGTGTTATTATCAAATCTTCTACCTGTAACTGAATAATTTAACAATGCAGAGGAATCACGAAGACACTCTGTACTAGGATTTCGGAGATTTGAATTTCTTTTCTCTATAGACAAGAAGCCTTTAGATGATTGTTTTGTTGTGTTGAATTTGGTTGTTTTTGTCGTTACCATTGCTGATATCGTAGTTTTCATGGTTGCCGTTGTGGGAGGAGGCACCCCTCCTTCTGTTGATAATGCTTTCGGAACATGATGATTTAGGTATTTTTCTTGTTCAGTTTCTGATAGTTTTATAGATTTAGGTGAAGAGTCAGTTTGGAAACTTGAAGGTGTAACAGGCGAATCACGAAATGTAGAGTCTTGGCTTAAATGAGTTTTACTTGCAGGTGAATTACTATGGAGATGACGATGATTACGTTTTCGAGAGAGCGTATTGTCAGTAACCACAGTATTTTGACTATCCTATTTTTTAGTGAATAAAAATTAAAGGGAAAAACATAACGCTTAAACCTGTTCAGTCACTAAGTAGAATTCTGGTAAGTTACTTAAAAGAAAACAATAATCTCATGATAAGAAAGAAAACAAAAATCTTGTATTCAAGTGGATTATATCCAGGAAATTTAATGGATTGTCGATGCAAAACGAATCATTCTACCGTGACGTCTAATTAACTGACCATATTTCCACTATAAGAATTACAGGTCTTTTCAAGTTTTTTTCGTTTGCACATGACTTCTATCAGTGGGGACCGCTAGAATCGTTGAGTCAAGACACCCAAGTATGACTGAGAATTTTATTAATGAACTGACATTTGAAATATATAACTAATGTAACCAGTTAACTTGATTGATTGTAGTCCTTAAATGAAGGCTTCTAATTTCCAAGAATACTTTTTGGAATATCATTACCTTCTGGCGAGTCTTAAGAAGACGAAATGCTAGTCTTGAATTCTGTCCCTATCTCACCCACCTGTGGAATCTATAAACAAATCGATATTCCTTCAAATAATCTTACCATCATTAATTAGGCTCTAGCAATAAATATTACCTTGAAAACTTGAATGGCATGATAACTGATGAGTTTCATGTGATATGAAACTCCTACGCATCCCACTATCGTGTAATAATGTCCACATATAGTACCTAGCTTAAAAATACACACAAGAAAATAACCATTCTACAACACAAAATCATAACGAAGTAATTTTAGGTGAAATATGAATGATATGCTTGGAAGCTGAATGAGTACAACAATTTAACTTCAAGTTACTTAAAAGGAATTTTCAAAAATAAATATGGCGAAAGTTGATAGTGAATTAATTGTCAGCAGGTAGCCTATATGATCAGTTATTCCCATTAGTGTTGATCGAAATCTGTTGACCAAGTATGCAGTTTGACCAACTATATAAGTAACACAAACTTATAAACATGGTAGTTTATCGTTCTCCGGATACAGGTTGAAAGTTTTGAACTTTTCTGATCAATCGTAACAAGCGTGAAACACGTGTTCTCAGCTTCTCACTAATTTTCCTCTGACTTTTACAAAAGTGACTGTATAGCAGTCTGATAAAGTAACTATCGTTATAAACTGTCTCAAACCTAAAAGAACAAACTTTTTCAGTGTACTATCTCCCTAATATAAGAAAGTGAAATCCAGACAGATTTGTGTGGCGTCACTCAAATGAGTCCTATACTGTGGGTTGATCATATTCATTGAAAAATATCCTTCAGAAGGACTTGGTGACAGTTAGTGAATTTTATACGATTTAATCAATATAAACTAGTACAGTGTGCTGAAAAGTGATCTAGTATATTTACTCATTAACCAGCCCCTAGTTGGAGTAATCGCTTTCCATAAACAACAGTTTGAAATAATTTGGAAGTAACTGTTGGCAGAGGAAATGTTTTGGTAATAAAATGGAAAGAAATAAGCTCTTTTCTGTTTTAGAGGTTTGAACAGAGGCTGAGAAGTTAAATGCATCAGACATAATAATGTCTGCAACACAAGAAAGCATTTTTAAAAAAATTTCCTATAGAACCTGTGAATAAATAATTGCACAAGCTTATGTCCAGTGATTTGATCAAAATAGTTAGGGGAATTCACAATTTAAGTAAGAGCAGTAAGGTGGCCTGGATTGTCTTTAAAATCCTCACAAGATCTATGTTCACTGTGTGAAGTTTTCCACCAATAACTGTGTGTCGGTAGCACAGAGGTTAGGACTCTCACCGACTGTGCACATGGTCCGGAGTTCGATCCCCTGCCGACTCACACCTTATATCGATGATCGGCCTGCAAAATTTGGGCTACCGTTATCACATGCTGAAAATTCCGTACCTGTACCAAAAAATACGTTGTGGAATCAAGCTGAAATAAGAAAATACTAGGTAGCACAAAATGATCAAGTGATTTTCTCCTTGGTTAGTGAGAATACTTCAGAGAAGCCCACTATTAAAGGTTGCCGCACAGTGAGACATAGCACCAAAAATGAGAGCGAATATAAAATTGTACTTCATGCAAAAACAGCATTGTGGGAAAAGGGAGAATAAACAAGTGAATATTAGTGAAAATATTCAGAAACTTATAGTTGATAACTAATGCACCCGACTAAATCTGAATGATTTTCAGCAGTATTACCAACACTTTTTAATCACTGCTTCTGGGCGTTCTGTGGACTCTATCAAGTAACCTAATGTTGAACTGAACTCGCCATTTGTTAATTAGGTGCACAGTTTGTTGAAAACAGTAGAAACGACTTTTCAGTATTTAGATTACTTAAATCTGGATAGCAAGCACTACTTGCTGATGTGTGATGTCTAAATACTCATATCAATTAATCAGCAGTATGCAACCCACATTCTCTGCAAGAACAATATAAATCTCATTCCTTACAGAATAATATACCTGTGACTTCCATAGAACCTACTGTGTGATTCTATCCTAATAAAAACCAAATGATAATATCTATGATAAAAAAATTCTTCAGATTTTCGTATATTCTACTTCTAAAATAAGTATGATGCAACCGAGAATTAGGACGTGTTAATACTGTTGAGGAATGCACTGTTATTTCGACAAATAGTAGGATATCTAAATGCTGCTAAAGATAACTCAAGTTGGCAAGTGTTAAACTAAATTTTGTAGGCGCAACTCCCTCTGCCTGACCTATGATAAAATCTGTCCTATCTTCCAGTTTTCCACAAATCCACCAGTCTAACAATGCGCACTGGGACGAAGAAGAGGAAGATAATTAGGCAAAGAAACTTAATTAAACTAAAACTGATAAAAATTAAGGCGTCTTAGTACTCTTGAAATGAGAGATCAAAAAAACGAAAAGAATATACCAATAATAAATAGTATGTAGCTAAATTATTCAAAGTGAGATATACTGACTTGCCTTATTTCGGACAATACGATTAATTGATGATACAGATGGAACATTTTCTACCGTACATATCTGGTCTTTTAAAAGCCGATCACGTATCTCCCAAGCAAACATGACTGGATTGTCTTCTTTGTACTTACAGATAGCTTCAACTACAGAAGCAGTAGCCACTTTAGGCTTAGACCCACCAATTACACCTGGCCGTATACTTCCCGTTTCATAATACCTGTTTCGATATATATTGTAAAAAAAGAATACAGATTTTTCATTGAAAAGATATATTATTATTCATTGCTACAAGTATTGTTAAATTTCTAAGTATGTATTCACCCTCAAAAGGATGTTAATATGAAATTTTTTTTCCTTCACATCTCCCAGTGGAACATAGAGCTTCAAGCTAGTGGCTTGAAGTTTCTGTAGCAGTGTTTATTTTACAGGATGGGGTTCGCTAGCCTCATGCCCAAACTTTCCTCCTTATCAGCATTATTTCTGGCTTAGCGAGATAAAGGAGTGCGTCCTGTGGCTGGGGATCGAATCCCGGACCATGTGCACGGTCGGTGAGCGTCCTAACCGCTATGCCACCAACACAACTGTTAAGATTCATAGAATTCCTGCTTTTTATGGAAAATTATCTTTTATTTTGACAAATCTCAGCTTTGAGAAAGCTTTTGATTTATGTTTCATTGAAGTTTTAGGAAAAAAGGGCAACTGAAAAGTTAGTCCATTGCGTACTCGAAGGTGGAGAGTAGAAACAGTCTCACGGATTTACGAAGTCCATAAAGAAGAGACTCACACTTTCAGAACTAGGTGAAATATAAGTGCACTTATATCAGTATGCACAATAAAACCTATGATAATTTCATCCTAAAAGTCAGCTGTACCTCTCTCTAGTGTATCAGTATTTTGAAAAGTAAGATCTTCTTGATTTAATTCATTTTAATATATTTCAGACTGCAGTGGTAAAGTTTTCTTAGTAATACTTTCAACTATTATTTATTAAAAATAAACACTTAGACGAATAAGCAATAGAAGAACAAGAAGCAGAAAAGGTGTCCATAGAACGAAATACACTACTCAAGAATATGAATATTTATAAATCACTCCCACTGATCTGTGGATTTTTTCCTAGACAATAACAAAGAGATTTAAACACATTAGATAATCAGTCGATTCAGCAATGTGTAGCCCAGTTCATCAATATTGTATTATTATTATATTATTGCTCCCTTGGGTTCCTAGTGGAACATAGGGCTTCAACTGCATGTCTCCACTTGCTTCTGTTTTCTGCTGTACTTTTCACCTGCATCCATATTAGTCGTTACTCTTTCAACTCCTCTTCACACGATCTCCTCCATGTCACCCTTGCACCGACGACCCACTCGCCGCTTCCCTTTCGGGTTCCACTCGAGGTCTTGGCGCGCGATGTCGCCCAGCGGTCTCCTCAGCGAGTGTCCGATCCATCTCCACTTTCTTCTGCATATTTGTTGGGCGATTGGTTTGTTCTTGTTTTCTCTATTCCCATAATTCCTTGTTGGTGATTCTTTCCGGCCATCTGTTTTTCAGTATAGAGCGAAGACAGTTGTTAATAAAGGTCTGCAGCCTTTTGGAAATATTCTTTGTGACCCACCAAGTTTCTGATCCGTATAGAAGAACTGACTTTACGTTTGTATTGAAAATCCGAATTTTGTTGGTGACGCTGAGTGACGAAGATTTCCAGATTGATTTCAGGTTGATGAATGTGTTTCTCACCTTCCCGATTTTCGATTTGACATCCTCGTCCGCTCCTCCTGTAGTTGAGACAATGCTCCCTAGATAAGTGAATGAAGTAACCTCTTTCAAATCCCTCCCGTTGATGGTGATTGACGCTGGATGTTGTTGCTGTTGTTGGTTGACTGGTTGGTTATTTTCATCACCTCCGTCTTGTCTATGTTCACTTGGAGTCCAGTCTTTGCTGCTCCTTCGACCAGTTTGTCGGTCGGTTTTCGCTTGTAAGTCTTCCATTTTGTGTGACATCAAACATAAGTCATCCGCGAAGTCCAGGTCTTCTAGGTTCTTCGCGTCGGTCCAGGATATCCCTGTCTTCTCGTTTCCCACTGTCTGATGCATAATCCAGTCCACCACAATTAGGAATATCATCGGTGATAATAAGCACCCTTGTCTGACATCAGTAGTGTACTAAGACTCAAATCAAATAGACAAATAAGTACTTCCGTACTACATATTGATGTATATAAAAATAATGATGAACAAAGTGTTTGCTGTTAACAGCATTATGATCACGATGAACAGTTTAGTTCAACGCTGCTGTATCACTCCATGTGTAACTAATCAAATGTGCATTTTGATCGAGATAATAATAATACTATCTTGTTCCTTTCTCGATTGATACCTATGCTTTTAACCATTATTATTCTCCATTCTTATGACAGATTTTCATTAATTACTCACTTTTCCGGTGTATATCTGTGTGTGGTGTTCACACACCAAAGGTGTTTGACTTCTGAACTCCAGGAAATATACAGCAAGAATGTAACACTTAATAGTTGAGTAATAGTCATTCTCATGACAGGAAAATGGTAATATTTTCTTGGAGTTTAAATATCTCTTACTGAGGCCATCCAAATAAGTGAAATATGGTTTATGGATATCCTTAAAATCAACACAATATAATTTTGTGGTAAAAATATCTCTGTCTAGTGTCACCATGACTCCTTCATTTATTCTTGCCATAAAGTCACTTCTGCAAAAAAACTTTCTAATGGCTATAGTATTTTCAGTCATACAAAGACAAGTAGGTAGTGAGTGAATTGAAGAAGGCAAACATATTAAAAGTAGGGATGGGTTTTGGATAGTGAGTTATGATCGTATTTTCTTGAGAGCTACCATCTGTTGGAAAATAAGAATAACACGACTCCAACCTACCATATTATTAATTAACTAATTTGAAGGTTAAATTAATTGACTAGCTGTATGTAGAGTGAGTAGTTCTGCGCTATCTTACAGTGATTCTGTAGCTGTTAGGCATCAGATTTAAAAAATATTTGCTTTAACATAATGATTGGAAAAATGATAGTATAGTACATCTTTATTCTGTTGCTTCTGTGGTACACCTAATGCACATAAATAGGCATTATTCTGCACAAGATATCATCTGCTGTTTTAAAGCATAATAAATGACATGAATTCAGTGCCAACTGATACTGATAACCAAGACTCCAGAGCTGGTACATAGTAAAGGCTACAGAGGTTTATCACTCAGCACAGTTTTTCTAAATTACTCCAAAAGCAACCAAACATTTTTACAAGTAATTAGCTAGAAGTCAGAAATCAAATAAATAAATTTATTCCTAATGCTGACAGGTGCATAGCTTTAGACAAGTGGTCATCGCGCTTTTGTAGTGAATTAATTTCGGTAAGCAGGTTGCGTATAGAAGTTATTTACTAAGCTTTGACTTTTATTACGAATTTAATAAGCCCTGTTAAGTGATGTATCCTAAGTCATTGGTGTGTTTCAAACTCAATCGGTAGATTTTTGCTGGCTCACTGATGGAGCCATCTATCTGAGCTACGAATGACATTTAAACGTAATTCACAAGAGGGACAACTTTTCACATTGACAGTATACCATAGCTATGCATGTCACCAAGTAAACATTCTGACGATCCAGAAATTAATAAGAGTAACTTCCATTCATTCAGTATCTAGCAGACGGTTTAATGGGTAGTTCTATGTTATCAACCATATATAAAATATGGTATAATAGAAATTAAAACATAAAAAGAGGAAAATTGTAAAAGACTTACCGTCCAAGAATCTTACTGACACATCCATGAGAGACTCTGAGTTGTCGACTAATATCACAAGGTCGTACGTTTTGATTAGCTAGTTGAACTATCTGTTGTCTAACCTGATTAGGTAGTGGACGTCCATTGACAAACACACCACCAAGTTGATTTATTCCGCCATGTCCTGCAAGGGGTAAACATTTTTATCGAAAATAAGAGAATATTTGCAGCTCAGTGTAACTTACCAATGACAAAAATTTCTTTCCACTATTATGAAAAGGTTTTATACTAAAAACACAAGTATCTAAGTATACTGACCTTTTTCCAAAACTAAACATCGACACCGGTGGCTTTAAGTACTAAATTACAATAAATATCATTTATTCAGCCAGAATTAAATGTTTTGGGGTTTTTTAAATCCATAATAGGGTAGATAAGGAAATCAGACTATGATTAGATATCTGCACAAACCCTCAGTATATCATACTTATGAGTTGTCTCTAAATTTCTGTTCCTTTTGATTTGGTCGGCATAACTTGCAGGCATCTAAAAAGGTGACTCAACTAGATCCCATTAATTTTCGGTAGTTGTCATTAAAAATAAATTTAGGGATCTACCTCAATTGGTTTCTATTTGAAATTATGGATAGCCTTCTATCTATTCCAGTAAAGACTTTTCTAAGAATTAAGTTGGTCTAAAAGATTAATTATCTGATTGAAATAGTCTCTGGTAATTTCCTGCACTGTCACTGGTTTATAGCAAGAAACTGTTATCATATTAGCTAACTTTCAATCAGGTTTGAATTCTACCAGTCCACTTTAAAGTGTAGTTATAGTGTTTTTCTCCTAACTTTCGTGATTCATTGTGTTTAAATGGCTTGAAAATGTGCAAGTTGTGAAATGTGTGCCTCTTAGAGTATGCTGAAAATATACTTTGTCGATGAGTATCTAGAAGTTTGAAACTCGAATTCCCATCTTTTAATGATTATCTCGAATCATCAGCGTCATTTATAGTATCAATAAATAAGTATTCAGCCAACTGACTTCACAAGATCATGCGATTTCAGCTGCTTAACTTTAAAGAAGTATAAAGAATTCTTTTCTACTCAGCCATTAGCCTGAGACGGATTAATACACCTTTTTCCATTTACCAATTTATGATTTATATTAAGCACACTCTGGTTTGAAAACCATTAAATACACAGTAGAAATCATATTTTGATTTGAAATAGTTTGTGTCTAGCATTCCAAATGTTTGATATAATGGTAAGCAAACTGGATACCTAAATGACATTTGAGGCGAAAAATAAGACTAAAAGAGGTAGTCAATGTCAACATATTGGTTTAAACATAAGCATCCAATCACTCATGGTTGACATTCTGTAGATAGGGAGTCAACAAATGTACCTACATATAGATAACCGTGTACATCTTTATTCAAATTTTCCTCTGACATCCTCCAGTTTTAGTACCATGTCTGGCCAGGTCATTCTGTAGTGTTTTTGGGTAAAATACACACTTGATAAAAACACTGGAAACAAGGATATTGAATGTGCGATTTCGAGGATATATTTTGAATAGTAAAGCTGAAATAAGAATCTGGCTGTTGTAGGTGTATGGCTCAATGTTCACTTCTATCCTGCTAGATCACTGATAGACAAGACGATTAAGACTCAGAAATTAATAGTTTTTAAATTTGAATCAGTATTCACATGTAGTCAGTCAACCAGTAAGTAAGTAAAAAAAAAAGTAAGTAAGTAAGTAAGTAAGTAAGTAAGTAAGTAAGTAAGCCTCAAGTATCTGAAATGTTTGAAGTATATGCTACATACATTAAGTTACTAGAGAAATTTAAAGACTGATAAATCAATAGACGACATTAGTTTATCAACCCTTTAACTGTTAATTAGGAACGTGGATAGATAAAGTTCCATAAATATTATGGAATTTGTATAACATTAACTAAAATATGTTATTTTGATAGAGAAAGAAAGACCAGATTTCCAGTATAAAATGATATCATTCTATTTCACAGGTTCTCATCAGCTGCAAACTACCTGAAATTACAATGGTTATAAATAATAACATTTCATACTTCATTGTTTGAAAGGTAATAGAGAAGCCATTACAAGGTAAACACATATGGAATGTAAGTATTTTAGGATTTCATCATGAGCTGAAATTAGTTAGAGAACCATTATAATCTAAGTCACCATCAATTTATATACTGTCAAACTATGAAAAAAGAAAAAAAGGGGGTGAGAGAAGACAGAAAACAGAAAAATCTAATAAACAGTGTCAACATGGAAACTCAAGAAGGTCAAGTTCATCAATTTGAAAACTTGCTTAGTGAGTTGAGCTCACTAGTCTGTATGACTGATCAGTGTAATGAAAGTGATATGGTTGCCAAGGGAGTGAGAGATTGACCACTCTCTCTTTCTGTATGCATAAGTTTGGTTTGTGACGTTTGATTGCAATTGCTTCAGCAAATCGTAGTAGATCCTCTGTTTAATATTTTGAAGGGTTTGGAAACCTCGACAAAATGCACCGTATCCACAATGTGTCTGGTAATTGCACTTTGTAAATATCTGCTTCCTTTTAGGCACAAGTTTCTTGGAATATGCTCTGATACCGGATAGAAGCCCTTCTTTCTGTCCTTCCAGTGTACTTGCTGCCGCAGGTACATGTAAATTTACAAATGCAGTTGGAGGTAACATCATCATGGTACTTATCCAGTTTCGATTGCCTTATAGAGCATGTAGTACTGTATAGTGTCACCAGATTGGCTGCATAGAAGCATCTCTTTATTGCTCCCTTCATCCTCTTTTCAATCTTCTGCGAAACTGTTTCTCCTTTGCATGGGAGGCAAATGAACACTTTCTTCTTCCCAACTGTTGGAGACTTCGCTTTCTCATCTCTTTCTTTGCTGTACTTTAGGATAAATCCTTTTGGATACCCCTTTTCCTTAAGGCATTTTTCAACAAAGCTTAATTCTTCTTTTACCTAGTTAGGCGAACATAACTTCCTGGCCCTGTCGTATAGTGTCCTTACTAATCCCCGCTTATAGCTCATAGGACAGAAGCTGTTTTAATGAAGGTATTGTCCGGTCTAAGTTTCTTTCCTGTAGATGGACTTTTCGACCGTTCCATCGTTTCTTCTTTTTACATTTAGGTCCAGGAAATTGAACTCATCGTTGTGTTCGTATTCCATGGTGAATTTAATGTTTCGGTGGACCTCATTTAGGCGATCAAATATTACGGATGCATGACTCACGTCGTTACAAACAACAAAAGTATCATAGACGTATCGACGGTAGTATGTTGTTCCATTGATAGCTTCATTCAGTCGCGTCTGTTCGGGATAGCCCATGAAGATGTTTGCTAGAATGGGTCCTAGGGGTGAACCCATGGCGAGCCCGTCAATTTGTCGGTAGAATTGGTTATTGAATCTAAATTGGATGTCTTTTGTGCAAAGAATTAGTAGCTGTTTCATCTATGACTGCGGTAATGCCAATAGATCTCTTTGTTTATAAATGATATCTAATGTTTCCATCACTGGTGAATTTGTAAATAAGGCAGTCACGTCGTATGACACCATCAGTTTATCTGATATGTCAACGTGATCGACTTCTTTAGAAAATTGGAAGATGTCATCCAAGCTATGATTTGAGAATTTTTGTCGAACTGGCTTCAATGAATTAGCTTGCCGTCGGGCTAGTTTGTGGCATGATGAGTTTATCATAGATAATAAGGGCACATTGGCCTTATGGATTTTTGGTAGACCGTACATAAATGGGAGTCATTCACCCTTTGATTTGAGTTCATCGTACGTTTGTTGTCAATCAGTTTCTTGATGAGTAGTTCTTTGAGGCATTTATTTACTTTATTTTCGAATGACGTTGTTGCATCCTTCTTGGTTTTGTTCACTTGAAATTTTCCGGAGTCGTTAAGAATTGTCAACATCCTATGTGCATAATCAATTTTATTCATTATCTTTTATCTTGTGAAGCGTCACCTAAATATCTGGACTATTTTACCCAGCAATCCACTATTCATGAAAGTCGTTAGTGACACAAAATTAGTGAATGTTAAATACTCATTTCCAATTCCGTCTATTTGTGCGTCGGTGGTTCAGAAATATGAAGATCGTCTTTTATTCTATCCCCTGCTGACACACTAGTAAACCTTGCCTAGCCGGTAGTAAGGCTAGCAACCTCACCCGGTGAAAAGAAACACAACTGCTATCGAAACTTAAAGGCTCAAGCTGGAAACTTTATGTTCCACTTGAAATGCAAAGCAATAAAAAAAGAATCTTAACTATAACATCTCTCAGTATTTCATCAGTCTCCATCTATTCTTCTTCTTCTGCTATCCTTTTCCTTGTTGTTTAGTAAATTGTCACCATATTTTCAACGCCCGCTAGCTTACAGAACAGGACTCAGCTGCATTTAATGTTAATTTGTTCTAATGTCTCTTTACCCAAATTCCAATAAACAACCTTTTGTGCCTTCATTATAAGGCTAGGTAGAAAATTCTATTACTAACACTTCATTATTATCATTATTATTATTCTGAAATTATCCTCTTCAGAGTGGAACAATGTAATAGCAATGACAGGAATAATAATAATAACTATAGTCAAAATAGTGAGGGAAGATAAAGCTTCTTCTCAGATTAATTGACTGATTTATCCTGATTAAGTCCTTTTTTTCATTCATTTTTAGTTTCTACTATTTGTTGTTACCAACATTCTGCCATTGGCTGCAAAGAGTGAAGTAACCACCAGCTTTAATAATGATTGATACATAACCACTACAACTTGCTGCTTTCTGCTGTCTCACCTTATAGCATACTTTTTATCCTTCTACACGAAGAAATTCACATTTTACCTGGCACAAGACAATTTGTTATGGTCCACTTATAACCGATTTTGGCTTTCTTTAGACAATTATTTTTTTGCTGTTTCCTTTTTTTCTTGTCTTGCCAACTGTTTTGCATATGTGTTATTTCGCTTGCTGCAAACTCATTTTGTTTATTTTACTTTCATCAATTTGTTGTGTTTGCTAACTGTCAATTGGTCAGTTAGTCAGTCACCCAACCAACAACTCATTCGCCCACATAACTATCCATTAGTATCGACACACACACACACACTTAGAGAACAAACTTCTCACCCTCACTTTCATCGT